AACAGGAGAATGGAATATGAAAGCATTTTAAGTTAAGATTTCAATATTGTAAATGTTATATAATCGGTACATATATAGAAAAAAAAGAATTGAAAGGGGACAAAGATGTAGGTAAAAACGGAATCTAATTTTTACACAAGACTTTAAAATCAATGTTTGTTTAAGAAACAATGACAGCTGATAACAAAATCAAAGGAAGTTTTTTGAAAAAAACCAATTCATTCATCAATAAAAAAAAAAGTAAGCATCTGCATGGTGTTATACGATTGTAATTTTATAATTTGTTGATGAAGCTTTGTCATTATCAAAAATTATACAATTTTCGTAAAGCTGATTTATATCACGTTGTGTGCTTTTTAAAATGAAGGAAGTTTAGAAATATAAGTATTTAATTGTATCTGAAGCAGAAGAAATCTCAATTTTTTTAATAATTTATCCTTTTTTTGTTATCACAAAACTATCTTATTGCTTATTTATTCAATCTGTTCAAATATGATTTGCATCTCTTTTAATAACCATGTTAACATTTAAAGTGAGGTTTGATTATTACAATGGGAGAGGCTAATTTTGTAATGTCATTCGAAGGTTCTAAATTGGTCAGACAATACTTGGTCATGTTTTATGAACAGTCAAAACCCTCTTCTACGCCTCGGGCTTTCAATATTCATAAAACATGACCAGTATTATCTAACCTATACATATTGAGTAATCAACCGCCTCGGTGGTCTCGTGGTAGCGTTTTCACCTCGAGTGCGAGAGGTTGTGGGTTCGAACCCCGGTCGGGTCAAACAAAAAACTTTAAAATTGGTATTTGCTGTTTCTCCTCTGAGCATGTGGCATTTAGGAGTAAGAGCAAAGACTGGTCGGCTACTGACCGTGCAAGACCCTCATGGGTAGTCAAGGTCGTTAAAAAAAACCCTCGTCGTGGCTCGGAGTAAGAATAATGTGTCCGGGTAAGGTGATATGTCTTCCATTAAAAATCCAGCTCAGCGTGTCGGTCTAGTACAAGACAGGATAAATATTCATATTACATTGACATGTTCTCGTCCTGAATATGCATATTAATTTGCCGCTGGACGTTAAGCAGCCATCCATAATCATCATTATCACTGAGTAATTAGAAATATCTGTTATACTGAAATAAAGATAAAACAGTGAGCTGTAGCTGGGACATATAATATTGACATTAGTATAATAGTCCCAAATTGTAGCAAGATCTAATCAAGAGAATTTGTATTAAACAAGAATTAAAAAGCATAACATGTCAAATAGCAGTAGAACTATATTCAGTATAGTTTTAAAATTCCTTCAGTCAGATTCGGCCGGTCTGCGGTATATATAATCTTATCGCACCGCGGGTAAGTTATTACGTTGTGATTGGTTTAACGCCGTCACGTGGTGACCTCCTATGGATCCGTAGGGGGTTAGTAAATTTCATAGTGGGTTCATGACGTCACGGCTACTGTTAATGGTGACGTCATCTCTTGATGTTTTTGTATTTCATTATCTATTTTTCTACAAAACGCTGCAGAAAAAGTATCGCGTGCGATAAATTCGTTTTACGGTTCACTACTGACCCCCTACAGACCATAGAGGGTGACTAAAATCCATAGGGGATTCGGCCTTCGGCCTCACCCCCTATGGATTTTACTAACCCTCTATGGATCCGTAGGGGGTCAGTAGCGAGCCATATAACTTATAATATGGACCATAATAGAAAATGGTACTTTATTTCGCGATGAGTCGAACAGTTTTGCCGAAAATCTTTTTAAGATGCATCGAAAAAGCAAATGTTAGAGTCCTTGATAATATCTGTTCAACCAGAGACATATATATCATACAATTTTGTCTGGTTCAACCAAACAATTTTGTAATGATAGTCCAGATATTAAGTCGAATTTCTATGTTACTTTTTACCGCGACGATTTACACAGATTGCGCAAATATAAAAATATCTTTTTGGTGTTCTTAGGTGATCGTTTTAAAGGTGGCGTACGTATAGTTTATTTTCCAGAAAAAAACATCAAAAGTAAGGATAGTAAAATAAGGGGTATAATTTTATCAGCGTGGATAAATTCACCAAAAACAGTTTAAGAAAAGCTTAGTAGTGTTAAGTATGTGGTATTAAAAATGAATAGTTAGTGCAAACAATGAACAAAACATATCCAAATTATGTTCCCAATTATAAGCGCCTGTGGTCTAGGCCAGCGGTATCCTTAAAATGTGATCCGCATTAAAAAAGATTCCGAAATAGTACATTTGAGCTTAAACTAATCCAAATCAATTCTGAATTATTTAGATTTTTAAAACTTTCAATCTATTTTTTTTTAAATCTTTTTTTTTTCTAGTTATACTTAGCTTGAGTATTGATTTAAGACCTACATGGGACATAATATATTGCATGCAAATTATACTATTCCCATGATTTACATTGTACAAAATTATTTTAAAAAGTCACAGTGTTAGGAAGGAGTCTTCCTCCCGTGCCTAACACTTTTACAAACTTTATTTCCACGGTCCCCCGCAATCACGGAGTAAATGCAATTAACAATCAGTAACTAAAAAGGACTAGAACCACCTACATACACATTTTTGTCAACCAAGCTAAAAATGGGGATACGATATTGAGGTTATTTTCATTTATCAACTTCGCCGCGGTCGCCAGAAAAGTATAATACATGAAATGCCTATGTCTTGCCTACCGCGACTGTCGACAGAAATACCGGGCTTCCGTCCGGTCTTGTGTGCGCTCTCATATGTACAATTATTGCCAGCTTTTATAAAATTATATCAGCAATGGATCGGACAAGTTCGAAAATTAGTGACAATCAACTATTTCTGAAAGAGTTATGGCCCTTAATGATATTAATTATCATAGAAAATTACATTGAACGCGCTCTCAAGCCTACATTTCTTGTAGGATTGTTATGAAGTTTAAATTGAAAGTTTATATCTAGACGAGTTCGAAAATCAGCGCCGATCAATTATTTTTACAGGAGTAACTTGTGTCTTTTAAAAATCACAGTCAATTCTAAAATAATATTGCACGCAATCTCAAGTGTACACATCTGAAATTAATATAAAATCTTTATATCAACAGGACAAGTTCAAAAATCCGTGCCGATCAACTATTTTTAACAGAAATATGGCCCTTGTTAATATTAATTATATAGAATATTGCATTGTAGGCACTCTTTCACACCTACATTTCTTGTAGAATGGTTATGAAATAGTAAAATCTACAGACCTAAATAATTTAATGCACCAGGTGCGCATTTCGACAATTAATATCTCTTTAATGATTCTCGAGGCGAAAATATTTGAATATCCAAAATCTAATACAAATGTTGAAGAGCGGATCAAATCAAAAAGGACATAAAGTATAGCCAATTTCGGAAAAGGCATCAGAGATTTGCATGAGGGAATTTATATCAGACGTTTATCATCAGCAATGTCTTGCGTGAGTTCGAAAATCAGCGCTGATGTATTATTTCTAAACGAGTTATGTCTCTTTGAAATGAAGTGTATATTGAACATTACATTGTCAGCACACCCACATCTTCATTTTATGTGATTTTTGTGGAGTTTATATCAAACTTTGGCCTATACCAGCAAGGTCTTAATTGAAAGAGTGCCGACCAACTATTTTTACAGGAGTTATGCCCCTTGGAAATAAGGATATATGAAAAATAACATTGCTAGCGATCTCATGTCTACTTTTCTTTATAAGATATTTGTATGAAGTTTTAAAGTACCCCCCCCCCCCCCTTTCCCCCCCAATTTCTTTCAGCGCTGACCTTGTTATTGACCTTAGACAAATAAGATATGTGCATCGCGGGGGGGGGGGGGAGGGGGGGGGGGCATGCATTGGAACCGTCTTCTTTTAAATATCTTTAATTTTGTATTTTGAAACGATGAAGTTGTAAAATGTTTTTAATTGATCAACTATGTCAAAATATCCGAGATAGTAATTAATGCACACCGTAGCTGCATGTGCATTACGCATTATAGAAATGAATATATTTTAGAAAAGGTTTTTTTTCTAAGGATACTACTGAAAGGTCACTCACATAATAAATTTATGAAACATATTCTTGGTGTTAATAAAAAAGCAAGTAATATAGCTATGATGTCAGAACTTGGTTGATTTCCTATTTATTTTACAGTTGTCTTATCAATGTTAAAATATTGTCATAGACTTGGAGGTTTGAAATATGGATTATATGATGCCTGTATGTGTAATAAACAATTACATTTGTCTAAATTAAGTCACTGATGCATGGTTTCTCAGTATATAATTTATACAAAAAGAGTTTTAAATACCGAATTTTAATCAAAAGCTTGGTACTTTATGTAAGTTTGTTAAACATAAATTGTGTCGGACAGTTTTCTTAAATATTGGAATCATCCAAATTGTCAAAAAATGAACACTGACAAAGGCAAACTTGACACTTATTTTTCATTTAAAGATTTTTTTCAAAAAGAGAAATATTTAGATAATATTGATTTTTAGAAAAGGCAGTCTATATGTATACAAAATCGTTTTTTAAATGGCAAAATTGGCTTCCCCTTAACCAGAACCAGCAAAATAGCATATACTTATCTATTCAGTTGCCGGCGCCGACAAAATAGCCACTGCCTAACATATAATGTTGTAATGTCTTATTGTTCAGTCAATTACTTCAATCATTGTATCTGATTTATAAGCTCTTTCTGGGTCCTGTAATTTGGAAAAAATTGAATACTCTATTCTGTACGTTCTATTCTATAGCTTAGATTTTGTTTGTTTAGTCGTGTGCTAGTATGTCCTATAATAATGATACAGCAACCCAACAACAAAATAGAAAATAGTCATTTATTAGTAAAAAAATAATTTAACTTTGATGTCCAATTGTCTGGCTATAAATGTAACTACTATACCATAAAGTCCCCGCCCCTCCCGACTAAAAAATGTTCAGTTCGGAAGTTATTAACACATTTTAGCATTACCCAATATTTAATGATGGCGACTAGAAGCAGGAGCAAATCGTCAGACAGAAGTTTAAAAGCAACAATCATGGAAACGGATGACGTTAGCAGAGAATATATTGATGGAAATTCGAATTCGAATGATTCAAAAGATGATAATTGGGTACTTTCTCTAATTTTCTATGCTAGTAAACGGCGAATTAAGATGTTAAAGAGAGACCACATATTACCTCCCCTGTAATTTCCTTTACAGTTTATTCCTCAACATTATCTTTTGTTCTTTTTGCATGATCACGATACTAAGCCGGCAATAATTTATGAATATATTTTTTTAGTGGACATTTAGTTGTCAAATTTCACAATTTAATAACAATAAGATAAATTATGTAACTTGTAAGAGGGATGCTTTTGTCAGTTTATCAACTCCCAGATGACTGACAAATTCGGACCATAACAGACTCGGACTACTTTAAGAGTTAAAGTAAAATAAATGTTGATATCTACTTCATTTGAAATTATATCAATAAAATCAGGTCATAAATCTTGACGCTGAAAAGAAGATTTAAATTGCCAAAAAATTTTGAAAATCGCTAAATGATAAATCTCGCCAGCAGACTGACTTCATATTCAAAACTATTTATACGGGAAACCAAGAGACTGTTTCTAGTCTCTTTTATAACAAAAATTAGTACTTTGTCAGTTAATTGATATGTGACTGGTAGATATCTCCATATATAGGTCTATAATCTTTCATGGAATCTCAAATTACAACTGACGTGATGTCCTAGACATTCAATACTGTTTTACAAAATTATGACAAATGGTGATATATTTTAAATTGCCCAATCATTCCTGGGACTATTATACTAACTAATATATTAGGCCCAGATCATTCTCTGAAGCAGTTCTTGATAACAAAAAAACCAAGATATCAGATCAGACTACACGAAATTCGTCGGACCGTCGGACAAATCCGATGAATAATGGATTGGTCTGGTAAAATTTTGTTGAATTCCGGTCCCAATGTCCAGTGTTGTTTTTTTCATGGATTTTTCTAAAAACCCTACATTTTTCCCAATTTTGGGAGCAAAATACCCAAACGATCTCGAAATTCATTTTCATCTTTATTATTCATGACAACGATGTTTATTTTGTTCAACCGCTAGCTTTATGCCGAAAATCGCCAACAAGTAATGTGTAAATCCGAGTAAAAACATATCTGACTGACAAAAACAACAATGGCTGCCATCAACCGGAAATGTAGACAATACCGGATCAGATTCCGGGAATTGGATAAGGCCAATCCCGGGTTTTGCCGATCAAATACAATAAATAAAAAAATAAAAAATCCAAGCAGGTTCACAAAATACAGCTATGAAATATAAACACTAGAATTGAAAACCAAAAGATTTAAGAAAATGAAAGAAGATACAGGAAATATTTTATACAGAAACTCTAAATTATTTTTAGTTCACAAATAATTTTCATGTCAAAATCCAATAAAATGTGACATTACTTTTCTTTATCACTGAAATGCATTCAAGCAATTGTGCACAACTTTCATCGAAATATACACTCTTGTCACATGACTTTGTTTTTGTGCATTTTGGAGAGGAGTAGGGCACAAGAAGTCATAAGTTTGTTGTATTTTGTCGGATAATATACAATTATATGTAAAAAAATTGGTCTGGTAAAATTTCATTCGGTCTGGTAAAGCTAGGTTGTTTACCAGACGGAATGTCCTGTAAAAATAAAATTCATTCGTGAAGTCTGTCAGATACAAATTGAGAGTGATTTTTCAAATGAATTGAGGTAGATCCTCATGAGTCACTAATGCATGATATTTTATTTAAACAAATTCAAATTTACCGTACAAATGATATGACAATGAATAACAACTACATTTTCAATACTATTTAAGAGTTTTCAATATATACAGTATCATGTAAAAAAACTGCCGGTATATTTTTTATTGCATATTTTAAACAATTTCCTTAATCATTGTTAATATATATATATGTCATAGCAGTCAAGATTCTACTTCGTCAAAATTATCTCCCCATTACGCCACCTAATTTTTTCAATCGTAAAAATGTGAGCCATTGTAGGGATGATGCCCTGTCAATTTGGCTCTTGAAAACCAATAAATTTATTTACATAGCTTCATCACAATCCTTATATGCCAGTTGTATTTTAAAAGATAATGTATCTACATGTACTAGCTATTAAGCATTGTTTCATGTACTTTTACGCCTTAAGTCAACTTAAAACTATTGTCTAATCAGTTGTTAGGGTGAATTTTCGAAAGTTTAAAAAAAAAATTCTGATTTAATATTTTGTGGAAGGGCAGACTAAAAATTTTCAGAGGTTGAAGACGCATTACCCTAGATAATTCCCCCATTAAAATGGATTTTTATATGACTGCAAAAAAATTGCTATCACATCGTAGTCGTCCGAAGACATTTGGTTTCAGACAATAATTTTAGTTTAAGTGTATGGATCTCTATGAAATTAAACAAAAGGTTCAATACCAAAAAAGTAAGGTTGGGATTGTTTTTGGGGGTGATGGTCCCAACTGTTTAGGAATTAGGGGCCAAAAGGGGGCCCAAAAAAAGCATTTTTCTAGTTTCAGGACAATAACTTGTGTATATGTATTTTGATTGCTCTGAAATTGTACGACAAGGTTCAATACCACAAGTAGAAGGTTGGGATTCATTTTGGGGATAATTGCCTAAACCGTTCAGGAATTAGGGGCCAAAAAGGATCTAAAACAAGCATTTTTCTAGTTTTCAGACAATAACTTGTGTTTAAGTGTATTTGTGTGGATGTCTCTTAAATTGTACCACAATTTACAAAAAAAGATAATTTCTTCAAATTTATTTATTTTTTTGGAGGGGGGTAAAAAAACATTATTTTTTTTTGGTGAGGGGGGCATTTTTTTCCCTCAAGATTTAAGAAATTTAAAAGAAAATTTCTTCAAACGTTATTTTTTTTGGGGGTTGGTTGGTAATTTTTTCCATCAAATTTAAGAAATTGTCAATTTTCCAAAGAAAAATTGGGGGTCACTATTTATTTTGCAAATTCTTTGTATATAGTCTAAAAACAGATTTACTAAGTATTGCGCAATAGCACAGTGTATTGCACAACAGCAAGAAATCTTCAATTTAATATAAATTCAAATCATATAACCAATTTCAAGTTCTTTGACTACATTTATTCTGTGTCAGAAACCTATAATTTGTCAAATATTTAATTACAATCCAAATTCAGACCTGTATCAAGCTTGAATATTGTGTCAATTTTTGCCCCAACTGTTCAGGGTTGGACCTCTGCCGTCATATCCAGCTGCGCTCGGCGAAGCAGTTTATTTTTTTAAGTTATGCATTTTTAAGATATCCACTTGTAAAGTCTTTTGTCAAGAGTTTTCAGTAAAATTTGTTTGAATCACCAGCTCTGTTGTTATGACTCATTAGAAAGGTATTTCACTTGACCCATATATTACATTTTCTAGTACTGTAAGTTTTTTATGTTATTATATCAACCTGTACATGTAGCCCAAATATATAAAATAATAGAATCTGAAGCGATATGATGTATCAAATATTTTTGCTTTATATGTTTTCAAGACAAAATAGTCAACTCAAACACGCCTGAACATAAAAAGGTGTACTCGACTTTCCCTTTTCGATGAAATTATTGCCCATTTTTAGGGTTTTTTCAAAAAAAAAACTGTTGTTGGGGGCAGAAATGCAAATTAATGCTTAAAAAAGATCAATTTTATATCTCTGTGGAATTTTTATTGGCGAAATTTATATATATATATGCTTATGCACAAAAAAGATCCACATGAATTTACACCTACCACAATCGACTCTTTTGTGAAAATTTGTCTTCAATTTTAAAGTTAACAAATATCTGGAAGCTCCATACTATGATTTAAGTAAAACATATATATAAGATGCATAAAATCCTAAATTATGCACCTACATTAAACTTTTAAAGCCCATAGTAACAGATGTAAACAATTCAAATATACCAACTTAGCCTTTTTTACCTTCTCAAATAAAGAGTTTCACTTCTTTTGTTTAATTTCAACTGGATATCAGCCAGATAGATTGTAAGCACTAAAATACATGTACAACGCAACCGAAACAATAATTTCACTTCTCCAAGAAGTTGACCACTTCTCCGTACTCTCTCATGGGAGGAGAAGTCACTTTTCCTTTTCAAAAATCCTAGATTAGGCCCTGATGAAATAGTAAAGTTATTTATTTTTCACAAGATTTTAATGTAAAAATATAATTCTAATGCATCTTATAGATGATGGAGAGGGGGAAGAGTCTGTTAGACTGAACTCTGTAGAGAAAAAGTAAGTTTATTTGTGTAAATAATAATAAGATATGGATCTTTACAATATAAAAATAAGGAGACGTGGTACGATTGCCAATGAGTCAACTATCCACCAGAGTTTATATTACGCTGATATGAATAAGAGTAATTATAGGTCACAGTACGGCCTTCAACAATTGGAATAATTGTCCTGCTAGTAACAGAATTTGAATATGTTAGTTTACATGTTTAACTAACAGATTGAAATTATAAATTATATATTTCTGACCTTTTTTTTTCAGAGCCAAACTGTAGCAAAAGAGTTAAAATCCCTTTCCTTTGCAAATCCAGGAAAATTTATGGATAATTTTGATCCAGAGAGAAGTGCAAGGGAAATGAGGAAAATGAACAGAAGAATTTACAGAGAAAAGTTTGTTTACTTTATTATTCAGATAAATCCAATTACGTGCAATTGTAGTTTAAAAGCAACAGCTTCTTGATATAAAAATTTGTGCATTTTCTGTTTTTCGACTGTTCATTTTTTGCTCCACAGATATTAATCCTCTACAAATTGACTTACAAGTAACAGTTACCATCTGTACATGTAAACTTCTGATTAAATCATTTTCTACATCAAAATCTGAGGTTAAAAAAAATCTAAATGGGTAAATGCTTACGATTTAATGTACAACAAGCATGAAAAGTAAGATTATCATACACATTTTTATACGACCGCAAAAAAATTTTGCAGTCGTATATTGGTATCACGTTGTCGTCGTTGTCATCGTCGTCGTCCGAAGACAATTGGTTTCCGGACAATAACTTTGGTATAATTAAATAGAAATCTATGAAATTTAAACACAAGGTTTATAACCACAAAAGGAAGGTTGGGATTGATTTTGGGAGTGATGGTCTTATCAGTTTAGGAATAAGGGGCCAAAAAGGGGCCCATATAAGCATTTTTCTAGTTTCCAGACAATAACTTGTGGAATGGTGTATGGATCTCTCTGAAATTATACCACAAGTTTCCATACCACAAAGGGATGGTTAGGATTTGCTTTGGGGGGTTATGGCTAAAACCGTTTAGGGCAAAAAAGGGAAAAAAAACAAGGGTATCTGGTTAATGAACAATAACTTTAGTACAAAACATAATTTAAAGCAGTATAAGGGAGGTAATTTAAACTTATCATTTGAATTACCTCCCTTACACCGCTTTTAAATTATGTATAAAGTAATGGTTAAGGGTGCAATCAATAGTTTTTTACGTGACGTCATTATGTAACAGGGCATGAACAATTGGACCCATCATATAGAAGTCAAATATTCATAGTTATATAGATATCTATACATCAACAGAAAGATAATTCCATGAATTTTTTTAATAAATAAAAAATAATTCCAACAATTCTTGGTTTAAAATGCAAATTGGTACAAGTTATAAGCTGCAAATGAGGCATTTTCCCAGTAAAAAACCTTAAAAACATACCACCTTTGGGCCCATGGATCAATAACCTGGGCACATATTTGAGGTTTCTAATGAGGTGTATTTCGAAGAGCTTGTCCGGCTGATTTTAGATAATGAAGTTTCAGGGTACGCTTTCCTGCTCCGAGAGTTGCTATCTTACCTGACAAATAAAAGTGCTTTTAGCAACAGGTGAAAATCAGCTGTTTATGGAGTTGCCTCCCATATAGTAGGAAGTCACAAAAACATTTTTTTTTTTGAAAATCTTGACAAAAGTGGCATTTTAATTGAACTTCAATATATGTTTTTCACATTAAACATAAAAAACAATCAAATTTTTCATTCAGTGGTATATAAATAGCAGGATATTCCATCAGTATGTAAATCTCACTGGGGAAATACCCCTAGTTTTTTATACGAAACTGTTTATAGCACCCTTAACCAGTTAGCATGTCTTTTAATAATCCATTTGTGCATCAAGTTGCAAACCCAGTGTCATTTCAGGCATTTTGGTGCCTTGAACTTGTATTTTGGTGTAAAAATGGCTGAGATATTGTCATTTCAGTATGCAATGCATCAAACCTTCTATGAGGCAATAAGATGAAAAATCTGAATATTAAATCTGTGAAGACATTATTTATTGCAACTCATTCTTCTGTTGAATAAAATCGATAACATGATCAACAGAGACTTCAACTTCTAGAAAAGGTCAATCACAATGAATTCTGGCCATATAATTGCACTGTATGGTTAAAATGGTGTACACATAAACCAGGATTTTTAACATAATAAAACATATAACAATGAAAAAGCCAATATCTAACAATAAACGACAGTCAACCTAGTAAAGAAATTCTAATATGACATATTGAACCATGAATAATCAACTTTTTTTCATTTTATTATCAACAAAATAAAAAATACACACCTCTATATTATAGAGTTCATTTGTGGTCAAGGGGGAGATAATCCTTTAATTTCAAATTTGCAAATTCACACACAATGAAGAAAGTAAAATAAAAAGATTAAACAATATTTCATTTGCACTTGGCAATTTTATAAAAATTTTCTCAACATATGTAAATAAAATAAATCTGCTATTGTCTATTAACATCATTGAGACAATCTTGACGTCATAGCGACATTTGTGAGGTCATCAATAGCAGACCAAAATATTTCATTTGAAACAAAGTTAAAATACAAAGTTCAAAATGCCTGGCCAAGATAGGAGGAAAAACAAAAAACTGAGGAGAAAAAAAAAATAACTTCAACAAAGGTTACACACCTTGGAACAATAAGTTACAGTTTGAATTAGGTGCTGAAGCAGATCCTTCAAATGCTGCAAACATCAGAATCAGTAAACCTGAAATGAAAATTTATGAAGCTGCACTGACACAGCATAACCGTGCAGCAAATACATTGCCAACAAGACTGCGGCCTCGTCATTCCCATAAGGAGGAAACTGAAGAACAGGAGGACTGTTCCGAAAACATCATAGTAAATTTTTCAAAGTAAAAAGATTTTATAAAAAAAGTGCATAAAACACAGGTGCAGGAACCATTCAAAAGTAGATGTGGCTATTTCAAAGCGCATGGGCTTATGTATTTCTCTTCGTGCCATTTGTGAGAAATGCCATTTTGACACAAGGTCCCGTAAAGTTTACACTGAATGTGAAAAAAAAAGCAGAGGACCAGCTGCTGGTTACCTCCATGAGGCAATGACTCTTGCAGTACTAAAAACAAAAATGGGTGGAACAGATTTACAAATGGCCCTAGCATGTCTTAACATCAAGGTACCAAGTTTACAGTTAATATCTACAAATGTCAACAAACAATGTGACAAAATGATAGAATTAAATGAAGCGGCAATGATAAAAAATCAGCAATTTGTTCAAAAATTTAATCACTGCATAGGAAAAGAAAATGAAGTTGACACGGCCTATAACAACAGAAACCAAGTCGGATATGAGGCCGGTACACAGTCCTTTTGCCCACTAATTGAAAAAAATACTGGACTTAATCTACTTATGACAATGTCAACCACTAACAAACTTTGCAACAAGAAAACTAATTGTAGTCATAATGAATGTAAGAAAACTTATAGTTCTGAAGAAACCATTTCTTCTAGTGAAGGCAAACTTGCCGAAATTTTTTTACAAAAAATGAATGATCTTAAAATTTTAAAAGTGAAATCTGTGACCAGTGATGCAAGTGCTCAATTGAGTAAAGTTGTGAGAGAATTTGGAAAAAAGTCAGGCAACTCCATCCGGTACTATCAATGTTTTGTACATCGATTCGCACTGTTCAAAAGTATATAAAAAATTTAACTTTTTCTAAATTACAACCTGGTTATGACAGAGACTTTTTTCGGCAAAGATTGGCTACTTGCATTAGATCAAGGGTTAGGCTCAAGTTAGTGCGCATTCACAAAATTAGTAAACAACATAATTTTGCAACTTTAGCACAGTCAGCAATCAAAAATATTGTCTCTTGTTTCAAATTCTGTAGCCTGCTGTGCACATTTGGACACTTATAATACAAAATTCTTGCCATATGGAGTTTATTTGAATCTTAGTGTGGTAGACAACAAAAAAATAGAATCTGCATTAAATAAGTCTCTTTCTTTGGATGTTTTAAATAAAATTTCTAGTCTTCACACAACAAATCAATGCGAGAGCTTGCATCACCGTGTCTTCACATATGCTCCAAAATCTGTACTACATAAAAGAAATTTTCCTGGTTTATGTCATTCTGCATGTCACTCCTCTACATTTAGAACTGGAAAATCTTCTATCTTATTGGCTAAATCTCTTGGACTTAATTTTTCTAAATGTGCTCCGTTCTTTAAATTTATGATACGAAAAGATATACTATTCTCAAAGAAAAAAAACAGCAAAATATAAAATTCAAAAATTTTTGGCAAAGTGTAAAAGACAGAACAGAAGAGTAAGACTAGGTTCAATGTATAGTAGCCGTTGTAATGATATAAATGAAATCCATAACTATGGAATCAATGTAAATAATTAAAATGTGAAACCAACTGAACTGTTTTTTCTTTCCTTACCTCAGAATATACAGTTTTTAAAACCATTATGTCCTTGACATGTACTAAAAGGTTTACACTCTCGATATTTATTATAACAGGTTCCAAGGATAAATGATCAATATTTAAACATTTCTTTGTGTGGCATAAATGTGAAACATGGTGACTGATATTAGAAAATTTGCAATCATTTGCCAAAAAATATTGAAGGCGGTGTACGGTGAAATTTTGCTTTTTGCCTCGAAAAGTTGGTCTTATAATGCCATATCCATCTGCGTTTGATGTTCCATACCAAATATGACAGCCATTAATATTATTAAAGTGAAAAAGTTCAGACTTTAAATATTGCTGTTCTTCATCTGAAAATTCAGTTTCATACGCTTTGGACATGTCATGAAACAAATGGTAATAAAATTATATGCAACTATTATTGAATATTCTGAAAAAAATTTGTAAAAAGCATGGTAAAATTATCTTTCTCGTTGGACTCAATAACATACTGTTTATGCATGAAATAAACCCAGAGTAACTTGCAATTGAGCATAAATGGTCACAAAAATGACAAATGATATGTGTATGCTGAAAAAAAACTGCACCTAAGCTGTCTTGAAAAATCTTAAACAGAAAAATTAGATTTTTTGTGCATATTTCTGAGGCCTAAAGGGTGCAATCAATAGTTTTTTACGTGAAGTCATTATGTAACAGGGCATGAACAATTGGACCCATCATATAGAAGTCAAATATTCATAGTTATATAGATATCTATACATCAACGGAAAGATAATTCCATGAATTTTTTTAATAAATAAAAATAATTCCAACAATTCTTGGTTTAAAATGCAAATTGGTACAAGTTATAAGCTGCAAATGAGGCATTTTCCCTGTAAAAAACCGTAAAAACATACCACCTTTGGGCCCATGGATCAATAACCTGGGCACATATTTCTAATAAGGTGTATTTCGAAGAGCTTGTCCGGCTGATTTTAGATAATGAAGTTTCAGGGTATGCTTTCCTGCTCCGAGAGTCGCTATCTTACCTGACAAGAAAAAGTGCTTTTAGCAACGGGTGAAAATCAGCTGTTTATGGAGTTGCCTCCCATATAGTAGGAAGTCACAAAAACATTTTTTTTTTTGAAAATCTTGACAAAAGTGGCATTTTAATTGAACTTCAATATATGTTTTTCACATTAAACATAAAAAACAATCAAATTTTTCATTCAGTGGTATATAAATAGCAGGGTATTCCATCAGTATGTAAATCTCACTGGGGAAATACCCCTTGTTTTTTATACGAAACTGTTTATAGCACCCTAATGAGCAATTACTTAAGACAATTTAAAAGCAGTGTAAGGGAGGTAATCCAAACACAACGTTTTGATTACCTCCCTTACACTGCTTTTAAATTATGTTTGAAGAAATGCATATTTATAAAGGAAGACCAGTAAAAATATCTGCAAATGTTGCATCTTTTTTTTTTTACAAAAAAATCCATATGAAAGATTTGACACCATATTTTAAATTCTATTATAAAATAGATTAAGGTAGCACTATGGTAAATTTATAATACGCAGCAGCATAGTATATTGCACAAAAGCAAAAAAAAAAGGGGGGGTAAATTATTTTTTTTTTGTGGGGGGAAGGGGGGGGGGGGGGGGGGTCAATTCGCAACAGCAAAGTGTATTGCACAAAAGCAAAAAATTGAATATAAATTCAAATCATATAACCAATTCTAAGTTCTTTGACTACAGTTATTCTGTGTCAAAAACCTTTTATGTGTCAAATATTTAATTACAATCCAAATTCAGACCTGTATCAAGCGCGAATATTATGTCCGTTTTTGCCCCAACTGTTCAGGGTTGGACCTCTGCGGTCGTATCCAGCTGCGCCCGGCGAAGCAATTTATTGTGAAATGCTATCCAGGATACCATTATATGTTTAATCATGCATTAAACTTAAACAATAAAATCAGATTTTGTACAGATAAAGTCAAATTACAATGTTAGTTTTAGTAAATTATTCTTTTGAATAATTTTTAGAAATGATTTTTGTATACAATGTACATGTGTTTGGTTTACAATGTAAGTACATGTATTTAAAAGACTGAACCGACAGTAGTATAAGTAAATTACCCACATTGTACACACAACATATATAAAGATTTAGAAAACTATTCAATATTAATTATGCATGGTTTTGAAAACTTATTCTTTCTTTCAGAAATGTTGTATGACTGTTTTCTTGTAAATAGGTTTCCTCTGAAATTAATGTTATAGCAGAGGTAAGATAATGATATTCTACAGGTTGATCACCTTGAAATTTTTATCATTTCAGTATAAAAAAGAACCAAGTATATGATGAATTAGGATTATATCTTGAAAACAGTAATGACATTTGTGACTGTTTAAGTATGAATTGCCCAGGATGCCATTTTCCATGTACTAAATGTGGATCAGAAAAATGTGGACAAGAATGTCGATGTTGTAGACGCTACATCTTTGAATCAATAGAAATTGAAGGTACAAAAACAGTTGTTCAATTTCCTGAAGAAATAACTCCCTCCTTCACATGACAGGACATGTTCAAATTTATTCTCAACTTTGAGTGTTATTGGAGAGAACGAATATCGAGCAGAAGACATGAGAATGTATAGAATTTGGTGATGAATAGTATCAAAATAAAATGCATTTAAGGAAAGAAAAGGACAACTGTGTTCCTCCGCTTCTGATGAGTTCAGAAAGCTGTAGTAGCAAGATGAACAATGTTTTACATATTAACTGTAATAAAAGTCTGTAAAGTAGTTATTTGTCAGTACTTATATACTAATATAAAGTCATTTTCATGGTACCTTTTCCACATTAGCATTGATTTACAAACATGTGATGCCTGCTATCCATGGTGTATCCATCATGAAAGATGAACAAAATTGAATAAGGTTTTATAAAACACTTTTTTGGCAAAACACCAAACAGTTTAAATTATGCAATCATCACTTAATTCAATAAGATGTATGTAGGCACAAGACTTTAATAGAAAATGATTAAATTTATAGGCCATAGTGTGACTATGACATTACCATGGTAACAGTACAATTTAATTCAACAGTTTTGAATTAAATTGTACTGTTACCATGGTAATGTCATAGTTGAACAGCCTGATTTAAGCAAATACATTTCAACAAAATCAGTCATGGCAGACAGCAACCAACAACAACCACTGGACTATAGGCTCCTGGCTTTGGACAGGCACATAAGAATATGACCGCTTTAAACATGATCATGAGTGCTTATAAAATTCTTGCAATGTGTACCAGTCTTTATGAATCAAATTCCTAACCATAAACTTGTTTCATATTTTAGTGAGCAATAAAAACAAATGGGAAACGTAAATTAAAGTATATAAAAAGGAATTCAATGACATAAACAACCAAAAGACATCTAGAGGGCAACATACAATTTTTGTCTCGCTTCAACAAAGTCGAAAAAAGGGAGACAGGCGTGCTGTTTCCAGCGGTGGCGTCAACAATGTATTAGTTTGTGATTAGGTCAGTTTATGGCACATCTCATTTCCATGGAGATTATTTGGCCCTGCCCCCTCAGTCATAGACTTTGAAACTTTTGCTTAGTTTACATAGAATTGAGAATGGAAAAAGGGAATGTGTCAAAGAGACCAACAACCCAACCAAAAAACAGAAAACATTTCAAGGCCACCAATGGATCTTCAACACAGCGAGAAATTCCTGCAACTGGAGGCGGGCTTTGTTTGTAATCAGGTCAGTTTAACCACTGGTATTTGGTTTGCAGTTGTTTTAGCATTGACACATTTCATTTTCATGGAGATTATATGGCCCCGTCCCCTCAGTTATGGTCTATTGATGTTTAAACTTTTGATAAGTTACATTTATACTGCAACTAGTTGTGTTTATTTCCTAAATATAGTAACAAAGCTATATTTTGTGCAATGTCTATTTCATGATGGATCACTTTTTCTACAACCAGGGGTTCGTTTAGGCGTGAAAATAAGTTTGAAGCTTGTGTTACAATTAAAATAGCTATCAATATATTAATTTTAGTTGCATTATAAAAACAATATTAGGTCAATGTCAGAAAAATAAAAACTTTTTTGTATTCGGCACAAAACTGGGGAAGGGCTCAGTAAAACCTTGCCCTTCCACAGTTTCTCAGCCTCATTCTGACATTGACCTAATATTGTATATGTACTAGTTTATGATTAGATCAGTTTATGGGGAACCATTAGAGGTAAATCAATGATATTTGGTATACAGATGTATTACCATCAAAATCGTCGATTGACCTCTTGGAGGAGTTATTGCCCATAAAAGATGGCTTATTATATCCATTTTACATTCTTTTTTGGCAGAAACTTAAAAAGAGAGAAATAGTAATTAGCAAAACTGCTCAGCCCATAATATCTACAATTAAGTCAACATTGACGAAATTGTCAACCGACTTCTTGTTTAAGCTATATCCCCTGCATGATGATTTTTACACATTTTTGTCTTGCCTGTGACGAAAGTCGAAAAAGCGAGACATAGGGATTGCTTTTCCGGCTGCGGCAGTGGCTGCAGCAGTGGAGTCAACAATTGTTAAGTTTTCTGCTTAAGTTAGTTTGATAGGAACTACTTGTGATAGATGATTGATATTTAATATAATGTTGCATTGCTATCAGTACATATCTGATTGACAACTATTTTGAGGCCCTACCCCCTAGGTCATGGTGAAGTGACATTGAATTAATTAGCAATTTTTAATGTTAGATTTTCTGCTCAATTCAGTTGATAAGAACTACTTGTGACATTCAATGATATTTTGTATAAAGTTGCATTACTATCAGTACATCTCAGTTTGTGGACCATTTCTAGGCCCTGCCCACAAGATCATGGTCCAGCGACTGAATTAATACGCAATGTTGCTATCCATCAGATTGCCTTTTTGTCCCCGCGCAACGTGGACATACCGGGCATCCGTCCGTCCAGTCTTGTTAGCGCTCTCACATTTACAATTCTTGCCAGATTTTTATGAAACATATCATAGGTTTATATCAGCAATGTCTTAGACGAGTTCGAAAATCAGTACCGATCAATTATTTTTAAAAGAGTGATGCCCCTTGGAAACAGTTATATTGAAAATTGCATCGTTAGCGCTTTCATTTGTACAATTCTTTCCAGATTTTTATGAAACTTTTATCATAGGTTTATATCAGCAATGTCTTAGATGACTTGGAAAATCAGTGCCGATCAATTATTTTTTAAAGAGTTATCCCCATTAGAAACATTAATTCTATGGAAAATTGCATCGTTAGCGTTCTCATGTGTTCAATTCTTGCCAGATTTTTATGAAACTTATATTATATCAAAGGTATATATCAGCAATGTCTTGGACAAGTTGGAAAAAGCAGTGTCGATCACTTATTTTTATAAGAGTTATGCCCCTTGGAAACATAAATTATATGGAGAAATGCATTGTTAGCACTCTCATATGTAAAATTCTTGCCAGGATTTTATGAAACTTAAATCATAGGTTTATATTAGCAATGTCATGGACTAATTTGAAAATCAGTCCCGATCAATAATTTTTAAAAGAGTTATGCCCCTTGGAAATATTAATTATATGAAAAATTGTCTGATGAGCGCCCTAATTTGTACAATTCTTGCCAGATTTTAATGGAATTTATATTATAGGTTTTATATCAACAATGTCTTTGACACTTTCGAAAATAAGTTCTGATACAAATTGCAATGTTATCGCTCTCATGTGTTCAATTCTTGCTTAAATTTTATGAAACTTATATCATAGGTTTATATCAATAATGTCTTTGACCATTTCGAAAATAAGTTCTGATCAAATATTTTTAATGAGTTATGCCCCTTGGAAATATAAATTATAATGGAAATCACATTGCATTTGCTCTGAAGCCTTCATTTCTCTTAGGATATAAATAAAAAGTTTTAAAGAATGAAAAAAAAAGGTGCTTTTTTTAGTTATTGCCCTTGTACCTTGGATAGATAAAATATTTGCAATGCGGGGGACATTGGAACTCTGTTCTTTTATTCTAAATTATATGCTGACAGGCGAGACATATCTCTGTGTTAACAGTTTATTTTTTATAATTTTGCCAATTATATTGTAAACTTTATTAGATAGGTATAAAATGCAAACAGTAAAAATTATCATCAATTCAAGATCTTAAAAAATATCACTAAATAAGATTTACAAATTACAAACATAAATTTGCAGTGCAGGTTAAATTAAATATCAAAAAGACATTTTTTTACCAGGTGAGCGATTCAGAATGTTGGGAGACTTCTAACACATTATTCAGTCATAAACAATTCAGCAAGAAAGAAATTTCTGCATCTGCACCCTACTTGAATAACATTTAGTGCATTTATCAACTAATTTTAAAATGAAGAATGTAGCATAATTGGATCATCCATAAGAAAATATTCCCATTGTAACATCGATTTATCTTAACTTCTTTCATAAAGATTTATTTTAATTTTAGTTCTTAAATTATAGCCATTTGAGGATCAAAGGGTCCTCATATGTACCTGTATATGTACCTGTATTACAGAAATGATAATAAATAAATGGTTATTCCCCTCAAGATCTTTCAGCCTGATGAGATAATTACTAGATATTAATATAGTACATGAATAACTGCTCATGGGCAGTAAATGTAAAAAAAGTTGGTCAACCAAAACAAAATGTGAACTTGATCTATATTGAACTACATATTATACAACGTTGTTACAAAAATAAGGTCAAGATTTGTAGATCTTTGTAGGCATGGACAAAAAATGCCAAAAAAATATAAAACCCCCATGATGCTGAGTTGTACTATGTGAGTGAGTTTCATATCTGTCTATCAATTATTTTCTGTTTGTTATGAAATCACGAAATCTAGGCTACAGAACATGATTTTATTGGGAAGGTTTCTTGGATTTTATTGTTTCCAAGATACTTTTGTGTTTGGGTGAGGTCTATTCTAATTTCCACGAATGATACCCTTAATCTCTCAACGTTGACACTCCAAATTTTGTTCAAATTATTACAAGAGTAAATAATTAAATTAATGGAAATAAAAAGTGGGGTATTCAGTTGACGACATCAGCCAACTTTTTTACTGTACTGTTGAAAGACACCATATTTGAACCATAGTATAACTTAAATGATGTCCGAGGTTCAGACATCATAAAAAGTAATTCAAAAAGATAGAAACACAATTTGTGCTACATGTAACAACCGGGTTTATGCTATACAAGTATTAAATGTCAAAAACCATTTTGATATGTACATGATGTAGGCAGATCAATAAAGCATGACAATTATGATATTTGGGAAAGTTTAAAAACCGTAATCAGAGACAATGTCTCTGTCGTAATATAACATGCATCTACATTTCCTATGCATTTCAATTATTTTTCATTCCGTTGTTAATTAATGCATGTTAGAGGTTGCACAAGCTATGTTGTAAATATCTCATCTTTCTACGTACTGAAATTCATCATCAACTCTTGATAGTTATTTACAAATAACAATGCTCTTTGATTAAGATCAAAAAGTTTAATACATCATCACGGTATCAAAGTCATCAATGAAAATCAAATATCTTGCGTACGCCCTCTACGCTCCCTGAATCCGCCACTTCAGTAAAATTACTTTTTTTGCAGTGACCAGTACAATGGACTGGTTAACAGCAGTCCAGTCATTTTCTCTGATGCGAGTATAGGGATAAAATTGTCCTTGCTACCCGATACAAATCTCTATCTCTATCACATGACCGAAATGATTCTCATTTTAGTTTCAATTGTGTGAGATAACTTTATTTCATAATTTTAAAATACGCTAAAAATACCTAGGTGTGAATTGAAATTTGAAAAGTTTTAAAAGTTCCTATTGCACTTTTTGGTGAATTAAACATCATTTTGTTAGGATTAACCAGAGACATATATACTACGGGTACTACACATGTCTCTGGATTAATACTCTCCAATTTTGTGTTTTCCAACATTCTGGTTGAACACTACATACTTTCGCATAGTAATTGAAAACTTAATAACTTAAAAATATTTCCAAACGTTAATCACTTATATGTCACGAAAGCTTGAAAGGAAAGCGGCAGATTTGCATAGTTTGAGGCTCTTATACCCCTTTTATTCGTTGTTGCTATTGAGAGACTGTTAATATACTCGTATGTACGCACTTCACACCAAGTTTTAACCCGGTATATAGGCAATATGATTGAAATGCGGACTGCACATCCGCATTTCAATCAGATTGGCTCAAGTGCAGGCCACTTATAATTTGCTTGGATTTTTAATTTTTTGTCAAGTTAAACATTTGACAATTCCTGAATTAACGCTATTTTGACAGTAGATGTATCTTAAATGGTTTTAAGTGATTTTTTTTTCTAAATTTACAGTCACATATTTTATGTAAAGTCCAAATGTTGACCTGAGGTAGTTACAGTATAGACTCGGGTAGTAATACCTAGTATAATACATTTGTCTTTTTCAATAATCTCCAACACATTAGTGTTGAATCATAAGCACACATTTTGAATAATTTTTCATGAAGACATCACTGGTGGTGGACGTTGTGCTTTTACGTCATTTAATCTGTGACACGATTTATTATCGGTATGTACTAGTAAGTATAAAAATAAACATCTGATGACTCTGATGGGAATTTATTCCAAAAGATTTCTTAATCAATTAAGTAGTCGAAAACATAACAAACATCTATGACATGACGGAAGACATATCTCACCAAATTAAGCTGTGTCTTAACATGACAGAATTATCCGGTCTTCAGGATATGTTTAGTCAGTTTACAATACATTTGGTTCCTTGATGACATGCCATTTCACTTTTTTTTTAATTTTATCAAGACATGTCTTTCAACAATTTTGAAAAAGGTATTATTTTAAAAAGAAGAAAATGAGTGTTAAAGCTAATTAAATCTTTAACAGAATGTTGACAGTATTTATACATCTTCCTGTCCCTGTAATGTGACAAGGGTTTGTTTTAATTAAAATAATAAAAGTAATGCGATGTTGTGTGATTGCCAATGAGATAACTATCAACCAAAAGACAAAAATCAAGGGTGTAAAAAGAATTGACGGGTTAACATGTTTGTGAGTGTTCACGTCTCACCCTTACCCACAGGCATTTGCCTCTGAAATTTTTTATTTGCATACTTTTATTTAACATTAAAGTATATAGATAAAAAAAATTCAGAGACAAACACCTGTCTCCTTACCGGGGACAGTGGTATCGATAGTAGCACAACACTAGAACAAGAAAATAAAAAATAGCATTTTCTTATAAAGAGTTAGGGTCAGTTTTCCCTATTTCACTTCGCATGGTCAAAATCTGAAAGTTGATAAATAAAACATACTAGTATTCGAATATTAAAGATAAACAATAAATCAAAAGATGTGGTAGGACAAGTCTATATAATATTGTATCACAAATTTTCAACAATATATATTAAAAAAGTTTTTTCAGCGCAAAATATTGGTGTCGAAGACAAAATTTCAATTTTTTATTTGATTTGTGTCGATTCTGATAATACCTTCGGCGACTAACAGTCCACTAGCAACGGTATCGGCCCAGTGCTAAAAATGGAAATAACTCATTATAAATTTGGTACGTCCGGAGCGAATTAACAAACTGTAAAATCTATGGAAGATGGTTTGACTCAGATCGATACCAAGCACAAACACAACGATTTACGAGGACTCGCAGTTTCTGCATGAAATCTTTTTCAAAGTCTAATTTCATCTAAAAATAAACCTTGTTTCCCAGACATTGGTGCTAAGACCCTTAACTAGGTAGATGACTTAAGTGGAGTTTATTTTTGGTTTTTTATATGCTTGTCAAAAGATATGAAGTGCTTGAAATTATTATTTGAATATGAAAAATGTTTTTTTTTTAATATTATGGATATTGGATTATCGCGACCGTGTACTCTTAATTCTTCAGTTAAAAAGAGGCGGAAGATACCAATGGATCATTCAAAACTCATTGTCTGTTTTGTAGTTATATGTGAATTTTTTCCTAAACTTAGTTAACTGAAAAAAAGACGGAACATTTAATTTGGCTCAGATCCAATATCCCAAAAAAGTCAATAGATGTCTATGCGTGTTAATCATTTGTTTTAGGAGGCTTAACCGCTGACCTTTACTGAATATCTACTTATTCACATCTTTAAAATCATTATGATATAATTCCTTCTTCCTCCCCTTATTTACAAGTAACCATTCCCTCTTTTTAATAGTCACTGGACCCACTACTGATTAAGCTTAGTGAATTAGAATAGGCGTCTGTGCTTTATTTCTTCTGTTTGAACAATTCATTTTGCCAATAAAACATTTGCTATTATAAACATTGTAAAAGATACTTGAACTTTATATTGTTCCTTTCAACTCTGTGTGCCCACAGAACCTAGCCAATTGGTTTAATATCAAATATGTTATCGTCTTAAACGTCGCTGAAATGTTTGAAATTTTTGACACTCGCCTAAGAAAACAACTGGAAGTTTCTTCTGGTAGTCTGCAGGGAAATGGCGCTCTGTATGATTTATTCGCCAGCCATCAGATCTTGGGTTCATCTGAGTTAACAGTACGTCAGTACTTTGATTGTTGTTTACTACTACGAATTTGCAATGTTTGTCGTTTCAACACCTTAATTAACATCTTGTAGGAGGTCAATTGACAACTCAATTATGTCTGCTTCGTCACTCACTAATACTTAAGTAATTCATAAATATAGAAATGCTTCTATCCTCAAAATAATAATACGAATGACTGCTTTGGACGATTAAAACATACACACATGAACTTAAAGTTATACCTTTAACTATTTGATATTTCTGAAATAAAGATGCATGTACATGTTCTCACGATTCATAACTATGCAAAGTACGAGAGTTTCCGTGCCGTTTAAGGTAAACACACCCGCGGTTCTATATATTTCCCATTCATCAATCAAGGATGACAACTATCGTTCGAATTTTGATTGGTTTAATGCTTCTTATAATTTTTATGATAAGTCTCTGAACTTCCTATTTATTTTATATATTTGTATGACCAATCTTAGAATATTCAGAATTAAGGACTCCTACCATATAATCAAGTTGATTCAAAGTATACAGGTACTTTATTTGTGAAATTCTATTTTGTATTAAATTTCTAAAAAACAGTTAGAAACACCACATTGTATTCGAGTTTATTGAAGATAAGTTGTAATTTCGATTAAAATTCTTTTCAAACTTAAGAAAGAGTTGAATTAAAAATTTCAATTTGAGTAGACGAATGAATGAGAAAATATCATTGAAATATAAGAAACAAGTATGTATCGTTGTCGTATTTATGTATGTTAATTATCACATACAATTATTTTACAGACAACAATGAAACCAGCATATTTCCTTGGACTATTTTTATTAGCGATATTGATAACACCAATTCGTGCTCCTCTCCGTAAGTATGATATTTTTTGTTTGCAGCGATTTAGTTGGTATTTTTAAATGTTTTTTTCTTCATGTTTACACATTTAGACTTTCAGTTATTTAGATTTTCAGTTTCAAACATCATTTACTTGGATCATATATAGCAATATTGTGTTTCACCAGGACATACACCCTTAAAAGCAAACAGCTAACTGTGATATTTGAAATACAAGAGATGAAATTTGCCATATTTTACAAACACATAATGGTTCAGTCAATTTTAAAGTCCAGTGGCAAATATTTCATGTATTTTCAGGACGAGAACAAATTAACAATAAATTCAATAGGTAGGTCATGTAATAGGGGGCGTCCGGGATGAAGGTCGGGAAATTTGGACTGCCACTGGAAAATGGAGGTAAATTGGATATGGACAGAAGTTTTACCTTGCAACAGGTCACCAATGGACCATCAAAAAGTTGTTGCAAGGGTTCTTAACGTGCAGAGAGCGTGGCACTCACTCTACACGAGGCATCTGAAATAACGACCGACGTCCATATTTTGACCGGACGTGGCTGCGTTTTTATACATATGTTAAGTTAGCTATGGCTCTAAACTATGACGTATAGAGTTTTGATTCATATTTTCGATAGAAAGTTTATCATGGTAAATTTAAAAAAAAAAGTAAAGATACCGGCCTTCCCTTACAATTAAGGACAATGTAGGGGAAACCACAGCAATGTGAATTGAATAAATTAAACCATAGACTTTTGAAATAAAATGTTATAAAGTAGCTTTTATTAAATATTCAAAGAAAACATATAGGTTTTAGATATCGTTCCTAGTCCTATAAAAACAGCCAGTAAAATATTTTATAGTATAAGATACTAGTAAACGAGGCTATCTCCAATTTTAAATCAAATTAATTCATCGATTTGAAAATGAAACGCGAACCTTAAATACAGGGTTATTATTCCTCTAGGTTTCCTACAAAAGGGATATCTATGCTGTTCCTTTGCACCGGCATGAATATCTTAACTCTTATCCCAATTAGTTTGCGATTGCAGGTTAAGCTCCTGCAATATATAGATGTTTAGATGATAAACTTACGAGGGAACAAACGCATGTGGTTATATTCATTGGTTTTCAAAGTTTGCTTTGACTCATAGACCAATGCTTTAACTTAAAAAAAAGTATTTCAATCCGTGAAGAACTATCTGGATTCTTTGCCGGGTTATTCCTTGCGCCGGTAAACTCCACTGACGTTTTTACCAATTGTTCATAGGTATAGGCCTAGGCTCCCAGAACATAGCATAACCTACTTCTTCATAGCCAAGTTCGTTAGTGACCATTACATTTCATTCAATGAATAATTTAGAGCTAAAGAGTGAACTATAGGGTTTAGATTTTAATTTGCAACTTACCTCTTAAGTTTAATTACTCACACAAATGTTTATTTCTTTATAGCTGCATTGTTACCTCTTGTGGCAATGTTTGGAGCTGGATCTTTACTTGGACCAAAGCTTATGGGTAATTCATTTTTCGGAGGAAAAAGCGATCCACAAACAACTTACATTCAACTTCCACAACAATCATCAAGTAGCTATGACAGTTATGGTGGATATCCTGCATACGGTGGAATGCCAAGTTATGGAATGGGAGCAATGGGTGGAATGAGTGGAATGGGTGGAATGCCAAGTTATGGAATGGGAGGAATCAGTGGAATGGGTGGTGGTTACATGCAACAAGGAGGAGGAGGAGGAAGTGTAGGAGGAGGCTTCGGAGGTGGACAATATGATTTTGCCGGAAAACGTAAAAGGCGATCATTAAGACGAAGACGATCAGTAAATGTAAGCATTTTAATTGCTCTTTATATACATATATCATTTCATATTTTAGGTTTTATCGTGGTTTAAACTGAAGCAGAAAGAGAAGCGAAATATTTTGATTGGAAACAATATGGGGTTAATTCAATGAAATTATATCAATTCTATAAGACAAAGCAAGGAAGCAGCATACGTTATTAAACCGGTCTTTATTTGTCGTTGAAAAGTTTTACCGACGAATATGTCACCAATATTATTTATGGAATGACTGTAGTGTGTACCACATTTTAAATGTTATTTCTTCATAGACAGAAAAAAAAATATTACAGTCATTCCTTATAATTCAATTCTTAATTCCATTTTTATGGAGTAAATCATGAAAAAACGTTGATGACGTCATGGTCACATGACAAACTTATGTCTATGAGCTGATAGACAAAAAACTTTCAGCCAATCAAAAGACGTGTTACATCCAAAATTAAATTATATACGGGTAATTACCAATGACATGTCGGAGCACACAAAGCTCGTGCTTTTTATCAGTAACTTCTATATTCTTGTTTAATGCAAGTGCATTTATTTGTTTTCTAAGCGTAAGAAAAGATTTTCTACATATCATGTTATACGTTGTCCGACAGCAAATATAGTTATTACTTATTAGAAAATAATATTATTAAAACTTGAAATTTACCCCTAAAAATATTCCACAATTGTGCCGCAATGAAATGATGGGCTTAAATATACTCGTAAAGGTCAATCATTCGTATAGATATCGATGTGTAGAAGCTGGCGGTAGAATATCCGGACAAATTAGGTATATAAGAAAAATTATCGACCTTCTTGAATAATGACAACTCTCTGACTTTGGTATCTTTCGGATTGTTTTTTTCCCCCCATTAACAGTCATACTACCTCATATTATAAGTATGCTCTATTAAATAAGGACACTAGTTTCAAGAACCCTGTATCGTTCATCTGGCATTTTGTCATGTCTGGGCCTTTTATAGCTTGCTATACGGTATGAGTTTTGCTTATTGTTGAAGGCCGTATGATGACCAATATTTGCTAACATCTACGTCATTTATGTTTCTGGTGGATACCCATACCACAACTTTTTTTATTATTTGTTTTTTTAACTTCTGCTCTCAAGCGTTCCGGATGAAGTTTATCACAGAAGCATGTGTCTTGCGACAGGAAATCAGTTTAATACTGACTTCAATTGAGTACCAATAGCCTTATTAGACCGGATAACATTATCAGATAAGATATAATTTGAAAATAGACTGTCTAAGCAATCCTCCAAATCAAATCAAACTCGATTATTTGTTAACAATCACATTATAGAATGTTTTACTGATATTTATTATTAAAATAAAAAAAGGTACCCACATAGTTTCGATGGCGGGGTCATTCAAAAGAACTCTGGCAGTGATATTTTCCGCAAAGGAAATTTGTCAATATATATAAGGGTTTTGTGATCTTCTTTGTGACAATTTGTATCCGATATGTCAAGATACGTTCAGTTTACATAACCGCTTCTGAGTACCAGTGGAATTTATCATCAGACCGGATAGCATCAACAGACATATATTTGAAATTACCTATCTAAGTGGTTGATACTTTAGTCTGGGAGAACATGATTTATTTATAATCTTTGAACTAGCTCTCAGTAACTGCGAGTACTCAGTGTCTTTTTTCTTTATTTTGGTTTCTTTTTGTGCTTTGTGACGATCTAATGAGTCAAACCATTTTCTGATTTTTACATTTTGTTCTTATGATGTGCTGTTACACTATTGTCCCAGGGTTGAGCGCTCACATATATGTTTCAATCCGCCACTATCTGTATGTGCCTGTCCCAAATCAGGAGCCTGTAATTCCGTTGCTGTCGTTGGTTGCGGTATGTTCAATTGTGACCTTGTATGTCCAAAATATAAAAAAAAAAAAAAAAACGTTCAGTTAACTTTATCACATCTTTTTTCTTCCAGATGCTTCGACCATTGGTTTAAGTGGATCGCAGACAATGAAACATTGACCAACAAGATCGGAGAAATCTAGTAATTAATAATAAAAATGTAAAGGCTTTAACTGTTGTACAGTGAATGCGACTTCTTCGGAAATACGCTGAATATGTAAACATGGTATATCTTACTGACGTGGCTTTCCCAGCCGGTTTGGGAAGAGGTTTGTCTTACTTCACAAACATATAGTGCTTTTAGTAAGACAATGAGTGCAGATATCGAACGGGTACACACAGAATTATTTTTTACTTGTAAATAAATATACGTTTTTTTATTTGTATGTTATTAATGTCTTATGAACTACACGTTTAGATGAAAGCACAGAAACTGCACAGACTCTTTTAAAAAAATAAAGATTAAAGATGTTCAAAATACAAATAAACTAGCAAACCTTTAACAAAACACATTCTGATATTCTAGCCTACTTTATATAAAATAAGAAGATGTGGTATATGGTTGCTAATGAGAAAACTATCCATCAGAGTTTAGTTTACATTTTTATGAATACATAAAACAAAGCCTGTTGAATTGGACTCTTTTGTGTGGACCATTTTGCTCATTACGTGCCGACCATTTATTTGTTGTGGAGGATTGTTTTTATTTATTAAAAATAAATTGCTTAATTCTAAATTTCTTGAAAATAATTTTGCTCCCGAAGGGAAGGAAACAAAATAAATCGTTTTCATTAAAAGTTAGAAAAAAAATCAACATTGAATTTAAAAAAAAATCTTGTTCCAGAATGATAGTGACAAAGATACATATCAGTCGACCGGCAAATATCTCAAATGCTGTCTGTCAGTAACTTCAACGTATATTCCAAGTGAAAAAAATTTAAATAACGTTTGATGAAAAATAAATCAAAATTAAACTACATTGGAGGTCATTCAGGGTACTCCCACTCAGGGGCACCCAAAGAGTATCTTGTCCACAAGTACTAGTATACGTGTGAATGAAAATAATATGAATGCATGAATTGCTTACTGAGCCATTTAATATGAAAGCGGAATCCATCTCCAACCTTACAAGGGATTTATAGGAATTCAATGTTATAATAAATTGGTCATGTCATGGATTTTATTGTTAAGATTTTTGCAAACAATTTCAGAAAATTGTACATTTATCTATTCTTCTTCTAAAATATTCCAAAATAAATATTCTCAAAAAAGATACACAGTTGTATAGAATGCACATCAAATCCCTGACAGTGCTCTTAGAATGAAAATCTGGATGAAGAAGAGAGAAAGCTGATAAAAATCATTGAATTCTTTCTTTTAAAAAATCCATGAATCTAGAAGATTATCATATAAACATTTCGAAAGTAACTTTATACAAAACAGTTCTACTTAACAGATATCTAGATTTAAAACAACTTTCATAGAAAAAGTTTCTGTATTTGCACTTGCTGACAAAGCAGCCAACAACATTGTCAACGTGTGACGTAAGTATTATACTGAAAAACTAAAAACTGAAATTACAAATTCGATCGAGTACTTTCTCACCTGCAACTTCTTTTGGAGATAGAATTGTAGAGGAACACACCTCAACATTGACTGAACTGAGTGCTGAGTACTGCTGAACACCAGAAAGCTCTTACAAAGAATTGGCTTCCTTAAATACACAAGAAGCCTTAAAAATTTCGTTTCATATCTGTAAATGTTAAACTACATATTGTTCGGTTCTTCTGACTTATGCTCTTACGACTATTGAGAGACTCGTTATGAAATGATGCGAAGAAGCTTCTCTTAATAGTATATTAACTAGTTATGGAGCGTGAAAACTCTTTTTAAAAAGGCTTCTATTAGCTACTATTCTTAAAAGGAAACTTTGTCTCCGTTGAATTTCGATTTCAATACTCTGTTTACTACAATACCAAACAATTTTGTCATTTTCTTTTTCAATAAAATGGTCTTCGATAAATCAAGCTGTAACTATATTTATTTGTTGTAGTCGTAACAATCCCGTTTTATATATAGCACTTACAAAAAATACACTAACTGGGCATGCAAAGAGATGTTGAATATCATATAATTGATAATATTTTAATTAGTTTCGTTTTATACTGCTTATTGATTGATATTTCGATGGGAATTAACTGCACTTCCTTATTGCTGACTTGGTTTGATATGCGTGTTTTCAGCGACGTCTTAGATTTCAGTAAATGTCATGAATACTTTCATATTACTAAGCACTTGCAGCAGGGACTTAGATATTATAAAGATTGTTCATTTAAAAAAAAATCGCATCCAGCTGTTTACGTTAATATTATTTATATTAGTACATCAGGGCTTGCAGTCCCTATCACGATTTCCTTTTGAACCAAGGGTACCTACTGATTAAGTGGTAGTGATTACGTACATCTTTGACAAGTCTGTGTCACAGATCCCAACGGATATGTTCCACTTGTAGTAACCACAATCCCGTCCTCTTTCCTTAATTGTGACATCACCGACCTATGCGACTTAGCACCTGAAAACGGATGGCACCATTAGTGAAACAGAAAGTGCTTACCCTTTCATAGTACCTCTGAATCATTCCCGTTTTTTTGGTGAGTTTGTGTTGCCCAATCTTTAGTTTTCTGAGTAGTGTTTTGTGGACTGTTGCTTCTCTTTTCATAGTTTTTCTTTTGATCATGGTGTTGTTTATTTCTCTCCTACTAAATGTTTTTGATTGTCCCCAGTGTATCTTTATTTACTTGGAATGATAAAAAATAAATAAAAACAAGATAAAAACAAGCTTTCTATAGTCTTATAGTGTAGGAGATAGTTAGTGTCCCCTTGCTCCATGGCTCCCACGACAGTGCTAAAATATTTCCAGTGTTTATCCGATGGCCACACGATGTACCTTAGATAGCAAGTTAGCTATGGAGAACGAGGTACTTGTATTTGACAACAATACCCACTCAGCGCTGTACAGCATCAGCGTAGAAGTTTGGTTTCCTTACTTGCCTGCTACAGGTCCGCGATGGTACGCGTCTACAACTACATGCACTCATAAACCCAATATTGCTGGGTGAGTGTATCGTGTGTATGTCCGAGGACGCCCGAGGTGTTGTACAAATAACGCAGTTCTTACATGCTTTCTGTAATTATTTGTGACTTCGTCATCGACTTATTCTACCAATTCAACATTGTTAGCGGGCTTTCCAGCTGCTCGCTTTGGCCATGAAAATGGTCGTTAATATATCTTCAGCTTATAAAGTTAGAAAGCAATGCAATTCCAGCCTCAATCTGAACAATACATAAATTTAAAGTAAGGAAACATCAGCAGGTACAAGGAATGAAGATAAAGCAGAAAATCGTCATCAAATCAAAAACATACGAAAAAAATTAGCAGCAGCAGCGGCAAGAACATTTGATACGCCCTTATTGTGCACCTTGAAATTGTTGCAAAAAATGAATCTGTAGAAAAACATGCATGAGGATACCCTTAAGAGTATATTTTTTTTAAGTGCAATGCCCAGGTTATTGATTTGGGCGGGGGGGAGGGGGGAGGGGTAGGGGGGTGTAAGGGACGGATTCAAACATTTTAACCTCCAACACATTATTTATGTGATATCACAAGTCAGGAACCTGTAATCCAGTTGTTGTCCGGCGTTGGTCGCTGTCTATCTTATTTATTTATTTTCATTGCACTGGCGCTATGGGAATCAAATTGGACCCCCCTTTTTCAATATATATATATATGTGTTTTATTTTTTTTTAGTAACTATTCCTTTATATATTAACTTATTTTCAATTATGTAATGTGTTCTTGCTCTTATCCGTGCGATTTGACAATAATGGCAGAGTATATATGATGATCAGTTCCCGCCTTCCCAAAGCGCCTATAATAGTTTTAGGTCAAAAGTGTTTCACCTATCGGATATTCACCTATTATTTCATATAAACACACATTTTTTAAAAACTTTGTCAAAAACTAATTTGAGGTCTAATTTTGATGAAATTTTTAATGTTAAACTCACAAATGTGTACAGTTTTTAATGTTTATTATGAGATATCTTTATAACATGTCATTACTGAGAAATCATTATTTGTATATAAATATTGAAATTAAGTGTCATTTTTTTCTATATAGCCATATGATTTTTTTCGTGCAGAAATTCATATTTGTCTTTCACGATAATTTCCCTTAAAATATAAATCATAAATATATTTCATAAAAATTGCAAGAAACTGCAGATAATTTTGCATTTTATGATTTTTTTTCGTTCAATTCGGACTAGAATAACCTTCAGTAGAATTTGTATTAAAATGTGTTTTTATATGAAATAATAGGGGAATTTCCGAAAGGTGAAACACTTTTGACTTAAGACTGTACATTGTAGTATAAATCAGGCCGTTGGTTTTCTTTTATAATTGTTTCACTTTTTGTCATATCAGGGCCTTTTACAGTTTTCTTAACGGTTTTGGTTTCGCTTATTGTTGAAGGCCCTACATGAATTATATGTCTCTCTTTACAGCTTCTTGTTTTCTAGCTTTTCGAACCCATGTTCGGATCCCGTGTGCAGGTTTTAATACTACCCGCTTTTTCTTGGGGGAACCTAAGCACTGGAACTTAGCCGATGTCATGCTTTTTACAAAAATGTAGGACGGATTAATGATACTAAAATGTAGTTTTAATTATTATTTAGTTTCCATCAACAACAAAAATAGAAGAAAAGAAAGGAAACTGGTACCATATCTTTTTTTGGTTTAAACACGCGGGGTAAGTGTCTGATGCAAGTTTATAATGATATGTCCTCACCAAAGTCAAACTCAAAGATCCTGTTTCTTTGGTAATTTGTTATTTTGTTATTTTGTCATTGAGATATAGCTTCTTTCTGAATAATACATGTTATAAAAAACCAGTTTAATGTTATATATTAACTGTGAATAAAGTGACTACCTATAGAAGGACAATAATTTTCACAGGTGTTCAACAGGTTAGCATGGTTTGGGTAAATTTTAGGGACGGAGATCTGGCGTCAAAATGGGTAACCGTCAAAATGATCATATAAAGTGGATCCATTTATGGATATTACATCAAACTCAGGTATTTACAGTGATTTGGATTTCATGGTATTTGCAGATATGGCATTCATGAAGAAGTAAGTAGAGAAAATGGAACATTTTGCCAATGGACCCATGAAATCAGTTTTCTCGCGAAGCAGTTTTATCATCTCAGCTTTGAGAAGCTATTACTATTTGTTTTCCCCCAGATGCTATAGAAATTGCTGAGATGCTGATATGCTACTAATTGCATGGAGATGCAAACAATGTCCTAACTATTGAACCTTTCAAATTTCATCATATTGACACTGTAAATGATCAAAATAAAATATATGACCTATAATTGTAAATCCCTTTAATTAGATATTAGAAGCAATCAAGAGTGATCATTAAAGATAGGGTTTAATTGCACTTGAGATAACTATTTGGGTGTGAAAACCCCAAGCAGACAATTATGACATGGTAAAGAAAATTAAAGAAGTTTTAAAAGGTAGATCGGGTGTATTCTGCCATCTTGGATTGTAAAAAATGAAAACAACATGTTATAAATTTGATGTGTCCAAAGTGCTTTTCTGGATTTAACTTCATCAAGAATGCTTAAAGCCTGATAGTTGAAAGCCAAGGATGTATAAGAACCCAAACAGTTGAAGAGCTATACATGTATAACCAAAATGGACCTAAAAAAATAGCCAAATCTATCTACATGTAAGGTCAACTTTGCCTGAGGGAGGACTCCGGAGGAGTTGAAACCTTAGTTTCTTTATAATTTCAAAATTTATAAACGGACAATTTTAGAAAGGTTTTTTAGGTGTAATACCACCATTGATTTTCCCCTATTAGTCTTTGTTAAATTTGCACTTTTCAAAAAATTGTGCAGAATTGATCTTTGTTTCAAATATAGAAATACTTGGCATGAGTAAAGTTTTATCCTGTCCAGTACTGTAGAAAAAATTTCACATAACATTTCATTGCATATAAGAAAATAACCATCACTGGAAGTTAACCAATCAAATTTTCCCCCTTTTTTAACCTGTGTACAAGCTTTAGTAACCATGTAACCTCAAGTTTCCAAAATATTCTATAGAAACCCCAAATAAAAAAACAATGGTGCTTTGAAATACCCAAGATATATGTTTATGACCCAGAAATGTTTTACTGCAATGAAATGTAGGATCAATTACCTAAAACTGTCAAATTCAAGGGAATATTTTTTTTCAACCTATTTTCGTATGCAACCGGATGTGACGTACTATGATTTGGTGGTATTACACCTTTATAAATCATGTCAGTACAAAAGTACTGACTACTGAGCTGATGATATCCTCGGAGACTGATCATGCTGATAGTCCACCAGCAGACGTATCGACCCGTGCTGTACAAAATTGAAAACAAGAGGTTATAACTTTCATGCGTCCGAAGTGCTTTTCTGGATTTAACTTCTTCGGGAACGCTCAAAGCCTAATATTTGAAAGCCAAGGATGTATAAGAATAGGGGCCTCGGTGCCCGAGTGGTCTAAGTAGTTACTACTGTAATCACTAGCCAGTCAACACTGAGGTTGTGAGTTCGAACCCCGCTCGTGCGGGTGCACTCGACTCCAATCTTAATTGACTAGGATTGTCAGTTTTCCTATCGAAGGTCGGTGGTTTTCTCCAGGAACTCCGTCTTCCTCCACCAATAAAAACTGGCCGCCACGAAATAGCCCAAAAGCGGTGCTTAAAAGTGGCGTTAAAACACCAAAAATCAATCAAATCAATGTATAAGAATAAAACAGTTGAAGAGCTATATAACCAAAAAGTACCTAAATAGCCAAATCTATCTAAGGTCAACTTTGCCTGAGGGAGTTGAATAAAATAGAGTTAATAAAATTAATGGGAGTAAAAAAGCAAAACACAATCATTCTAGATTTTGAATAAAATATACAAATTTTGATAGATGAAGTAAAATAACAAAAAATCCAAACTCCAAGGAAAATTCGAAAAGGAAAGTCCCTTATTAAATGGCAAAGTCAAAAGCTCAAATACATCAAATGAATGGAAAACAACTGTCATATTCCTGACTTGTTACAGGCATTTCCTTTTGTAGAAAATGGTGGATTAAACCTGGTTTAATAGCTAGCTAAACCTCTCACTTGTATGACAGTCACATAGAATTCCAAAAATGTGTGAGCAAAACAAAAAGACATAATAGGAAAAAATGTCAAAAATTGGTGTACAGCAGTCAACATGTAATAATCTTAATCAATATATATAAAAACAAACAACTATGTCAACAAAGAAAAAACAAAGCACATAGCAAAAATGAAGGACAAGAATACAAAAATATCCATAGCACAATAACACAATGGTGGGATGTATAAATACTGTGTATAATCATGATAATATAAATATATGAATGTAATTAATTTGTTATACTTTTCATCTAAACAAGGATCCTTGATCTAAATGAGGAAAAGTGTGTGTTATTCTTATTATCACAACTGTTTTTAAAAATACAGAACATTTTTCATGAATCAGTTTTTTGCAAACTTTGCCTGAAAAGGGGAGATAACCTTACTTTTAAATAAGAATGTGTAGGAAATTTACCTATTATTTTTTTTTACCAAGAAACTTGTTAGTCCTGTGACCCCATTTTTTCTTTTTTCTTTTTTTAAAATTAGCCCTGTTAGCCATAATTTTTATTATATTTTTGAAAAAAGCATGATATAAACTTCATTTTGGCAAATTATTAGATATTCTTTCCATTTTAATTTAGACCCATGATCTACCTTAAAGGGCAGCCAACATAAATTTGGACAATTCAACAAATGTTAAAACACATTGTTGATTAACTTTTGCTACCTCAGTCTTAAGGTAATATATTTGAATACATTTGTGTGTTGATATAGATGTGGCCAAATATGTAGAATTGCTTCCCTTGTCCTGCTTATTTTTATTTTGCATTCGTATTATGTTATGAACTTATGGTGTTGTCTGCGTCTGCGTCTGAAGACATTTTGGTTCGCAGACAATAACTTGAGTATAAGTGCATGGATCTCTATGAAATTTTAGCACAAGGTTCCATACCACTAAAGGATGGTTGGGATTGTTTTTGGGGGCTATTGTCCTAGCAGTTTTGTAATTAGGGGCCAAAAAAAGGTCAGTTTTACTGGTTCATAGAAAATAATTTGGTTCGCAGACAATAACTTTAGTAGAAGTGTATGGGTGTGTAAGAAATTTTAGCGCAAGGTTCCATACCACAATAGGAGGGTTGGGATTGATTTTGGGGGTTATTGTCCTAGCTGTTTTGTAATAAGGGGCCAAAAACAATTATTTGTCTGGTTTTAAGACAATAACATGAGTATAAGTGTATATATCTCTGTTAAATTTTAGCACAAGGTTTCACACCACAATAGGAAGGTTGGGATCAATTTAGGGGGTTATTGTCATAGCTGTTTAGGAATTAGGGGTCAAAAAGGGCCTAACAAAAACAATTATTTGTCTGGTTCTAAGACAATAACATGAGTATAAGTGTATATATCTCTGTTAAATTTAAGTACAAGGTTTCATACCACAATAGAAAGGTTGTGATTTATTTTGGGGGTTAATGTCGTAGCCGTTAAGTAATTAGGGGCCAAAAACAAGCATTTTTCATGTTTCAGGACAATAATTTGTGTACAAGATTATAGATTTCTATGAAATTTTACCACAAGGTTTCATACTTCAAAAGGAAAGTTGGGATTGATTTTGGGGGGGTCATGGCCCAAACCATTTAATAATTAGGGGTCGAAAAGGGGTCAAAAACAACTATTTTTGTGGTTTGCAGGCAATAACTTGAGTATAAGTGTATTAAATTTTAGCACAAGGAAGGTTGGGGTTTATTTTGTGGGTTATTTTAGTATATGTTTAGGAATTAGGGGCAAAAAAGGGGCTTTTACAGATTGTTTTTTTTTCAATTTTTTGAAGAACTTCCTGGTAGGTAAGTTGTTTGTTATCCTGTATAAATTAATTTTCAGAATGTTAAATATATATAATTTTTTATAAAACAAACCCCTTTAAAAAGTTAGCTTATATTGTCCATTAACAAATAAATAAATTAAATTCTTGGTGTACTAAGATATTATGGTCCATTAATAAATAAATGAATTAAATTCTTGGTTTACTTGGATATGCTGAATCTAACCATGTATTTAGATTTTGGATACTGGACCATAATAGGTAAAATCCAATTTCACAAATTTTTCAGTTCTATGACCACATTCGTTCTGTGACAGAAACCTATGATGTGTCAAATATTTAATCACAATCCAAATTCTGAGCTGTATCAAGCTTGAATGTAGTGTCCATACTTGCCCCAACTCTTCAGGGTTCGACCTCTGCGGTCGTATCCAGCTGCGCCTAGGGGAGCATTTTATTTATATTGTTCTCCTCAAATTTATGTTAGTTTACACATTTAGTGTGCCCCTAAATGTTTAAAAAAAAATTGTAATGTATATTTTAAAAATTTTGCTTCAGACATTATAAAATTTAATCATAAAAAAACATCTACCAAAGTTTCATAAAATTCTATGAAGGTTTGACAAAGTAATTTGATGTGTAACACATTAACCCCAGACTGTAACTAATTGTTAACTGCAAAAAACTAAGTCCTTTTTTCAGTAAACTACAGAATAGTGAGACAAATTTTTTTCTTCATTTTTTTGCTCTAGATTATGTCTTAAGATTGTAAAAAAGCTTCTGTCCAACATAAGTAAAATTCAATGAAGGTTTGACACCATTATTGATGACTGAAAAAATTAAATTTTTCTATGTAATTAGAATGAACTGCAAAAAAGTATATTTTATGATTTATCAGTAAAATAAGGAAAATACGTATTTTTTTAAAATTTTGCTCTAGATACTGTCTTTTTGTCACAAAAAAGCTTCTTTGTCCATTTTAATAAATTTGATAAAATTCCATAAAGGTTTGACAAAGTTATTGATATCTAAAAAAAACTTTAACCACAAACTGAACCTTAATGCTGACAATGTTGACACCACACATATTTTTAAAAATCTTTTATTACAAAAATTGACAAATATTCCTATGTAACATTTTAGAGCTTAGCCTGCAAACAGTGCATAGTCATAAAATATTCTTTAGATATAAATTTTGGATCAGAAGGGATTCATATTGTGGAAAATATATGGCGTATGTTTACTTATATTCTTTATTTTGTTATGTAACAAAAACAATTTGAAGATCTGAGAGACAAAAAAAGTCGGCTTGCTAATATGGTAGAAAATTGGTAAATTCAAAAAATTTATGCGTGTAATTTATGTTCACATCTATCAACAGACAAAATGTCAAATAAATAATATTAATAAGCTATACTAAATTGAATGGTTTGATAAGTAAATTCCTAAATGCCTAAGTTTCTCAATTATTTATTTACTAAGTACACAATTATAAATCTCTGATTAATCATCTTCAGTTTCTCTTCACTGAGGTTACATTTTGTCTACTCCATTTTAGGATTTAGATCAAGTTAACAATGGATGCTGACAGAGTACTTCAGAGCCTTGGGAATTATGGACGTTTCCAGATCTTAGTATTTCTTTGTCTGTCCTTTATCTACATGAGGGGAGCATGGCCTGTCCTGGGAAGTATATTTCTTGGAGGGGTACCAGATTATTCTTGTAAAAAGTTTGCTGATAAAAATAAAACTATTACATATGGAACTTGTGATGTCACTCTCAGTATTGATGGACAGAATACAACCCAATCTTGTCCTAATGGTTGGGAGTATGGTGATGAGTTTGAAGAAACCATAGTGACAGAGGTGAGTTTTAACATGTTACTAGTAATACCGTTATTTTGACAATCTTTAAATTATTTATGTTAAACTTTTCAATGTATGTTACTGGTGAGTGAATATTTAAGCAGGCAGCAATCTCAGTTTTTCTTCAATGATTTGAATGATTATTGGTGTATAATGCCACTTTCAGCACTCTTGGCTATAACATGACGGCCAGTTTTTATTGATGGAGGAAGCTGGAGTACCCATAGAGAACCACTGACCTGCAGCAAAACTTGCATTTTTCGTCAATTAAGATCAAATGCACTGTCTAGAGCTGGCTTAGACCTCACAACCTCAGTGTTAACTGGCAAGTGATTACTGTAGATGAGCTACAGGTACTTAGAACAATCAGCAACTGTTTTTCAAAACAAAGTTAAAAGTTTAAAGGTTGAAATTTTACCAGTATATTTTCAGGAATAATTTAGTCTTTTTATCTTCAACAAACATTAAAAAAAATTTGAAATGGATTTAAAATATTTGTTTTTTTTTTACAGTGGGATCTTGTGTGTGATAGAGATTATTTAAATGAGTTGTCCACAACAATTTACATGGTAGGGAATACTATTGGGGCTACCTTCCTGACTCCACTATCAGACAGATTTGGAAGAAAGAAAACAATTTTGACACTTCTGTTGATACAAGCTGTCATTGGTATCTGTGCAGCTTTTGCTAATACATATATTTTGTTTACTATCCTTCGATTCTTTATTGGAATGTTAAACATGGTAAGAATAAGGTGTTGAAATTATGACTGTGGATTCATTTATTTTCATGGGTACTAATTTTTGTGGATTGATAATTTTTTTAAATTTTATTGAAAGTTGATATTGAGGTTTTTGTGGAAATCTGCACACAACTATATAGATGATTTGTACTTAGTTGTATATTTTAATTTGTGGTTTATCTTTACGTACGAAATCCACAAAAATTGGTACCACATCTATAATAATGAATGCACAGTATTTTTGACAAACCTGCCTTTATTCGCTTGACAGATTCCAGGTATTTTGAAGAATACTTTGAAGAGAATAGGTCAGGAAGTTAAACTTTGGCCATGACAATGAGAATGCTCAAATACTCAATACTGCAGTAGAATTTTTCAAATTAAAAAAAAAAACCCATCAGAAATAAAAGTTCTATTGGCATATTTCAATGCAATACAGTTATAACATCTGAAGATACTTAGTTCTTCTTTCAAAATGTAACTCAATTGTCTTAAACATTTAAGTTTTTGTCATCAATTATTATCTGTTACCTGTCACAAGATATATTAAAAAATCTTTTAAAATGATTGAGTCAGTATTGTCCAAGCTTGTCGAATTTCAATATTTTCATTATTATAATTACCAATGAAACAACTATGCATTTAAACAAAGACACAACACAAAATATCTACCTTTGAAATAAATATGCTTGATAATGCTAAATAATTAGGACTTTTACAGAAATCTTTGTAATTTTGGAATTAGAAGGCAATTTTATTAAATTGGATGACTATTGACTGTTTTTTTTTTAAATCAAACTTTAAGAGGGTATGACTAACTTGCAGTCTTTTAAAATGTTATGCACAGTGAAGTAAAACAAAAGTATCTTCCCAAATCAATATTTTTGAAATAGCCCTGATAGTATTTTTAATGGAATGGAAAAGAAAGGTTATAGTGCATCAATTCATGACACAAAATCTCTATAAGTACAGAAATAAACAAAAAGCAAAGAAACAGTGCTTTTATTGCTGTTCTTCATCCAAAGTCACAGTGAGACCTAAAACATGGGACAACAACTCTTCCAACATTGCAAGTTCAATACACTCCCTAGCATCATTTTGAGAACTCTCTGCTACATGTGAATCTTGCGCATCTTTGCATTAAATAACCTAACTGCAGGATTAAATCAACACATTATAAATTATATCTGGCAAAGAAATCTAATACTGTCATTAATTGCCCTACAATCAAAATGTAAAATACAGTAACAAAATGTTCTTTTTTTTCAGCCTATAGCATTAGCTACATATGTAATGGTGACAGAATTTTTTCCTTCTAATTTCCGCTCATATCCATCAGTTGCTGTCAACTGTTCCTGGAGCATAGGAATTATGGTGTTGGCTACGTTTGGATATTTTTTGCGAGATTGGCAGACATTACAGCTAGTCATTACCATACCTAATTTGTTAACTATAATTTTTTATTGGTATGTTTTAATTTATAATTAGATTTCATAACATGTTATTTCTAAAGATAACTGTTTTCTCCTTTAAAAAACTCATGGCCCAGATTTCAAGTAAAGTCATTAAAATCTATTTAACAAAATTTTGGGGTAAATACAGTACAGTATGAGGTTATCATTGCAATATTTTATGACTAGTTTGTGTAATTGTAAGCTGATTATACACTGAGATTTTTCATTCATACCAAACTGAATTTCTTTTCCATATTAGTAGATTTCATTGTTGAGACATTAATCCTATTATTTATGTAAATCAGTTGTGCTTTCATGAATGCTGCAATAAAATGCACCCAAGCTCATCCATTACCGTAAACATTTGGTCTGGTGTTCCTGTTGTATTTTGCACTATCATTGGTGCACTCAAAAAGTTGGTAATAGGAAATTTATTTTGCCTTATTGTTTCATTTTAAATGTTGTATTGGACTTAAAACTGTTTGCCTTTGGTTAATTTTGTTATTTAACACTTAGATTATTTCATTTCAAAAAGTCAAAAGTGTTGTATCTGTTAATGCTTCTTATCTTAAGAAATAAATGATAATAGTGCTTGTAAGTTTTAATGTCTTCAGATTTTTTCATTTCTGAAAAAATCATAAACAGCAATCATATTGTTTCATAAGTAGAGAAATTTCTGTTTGAACAGGTTTATTCCAGAATCTCTTCCATGGCTTATTGCCAAGAAAAAATACAATGAAGCAGAGAGAGTGACCAAATGGGCAAGTAAAATCAATGGTATACCTTTCCCTAGACATCTGTTCGAGGAAGCTGAGAAAGAAAATGAAGACTCATCAGAAAAAGGGCCCCATAGCAGTGAAGTCCTAGTAGAATCTGATCATAAACAAGCTTATACGTTCCTAGATCTGTTTAGAACGCCTGTCATTAGAAGATATACAATTATTACATTTTATTTATGGTAGGTATGTTTATAGTTATTGATGGGCTATGTTTTAAGGACAGTTATATATTTAACTTATTTTTACCAAAGTATAAGCAAATTGTATGGAATTCACTTCAGATTCAAATGTACTTTGTAAAAATGTTATTGATTGATTGTTGGTGTTTAACATAACTTTCAGCACTATTAGCTATATCATGGCGGTCAGTTTTTATTGATAAGGAAGTCATTTTGCCCCTTTAGAAACCTAGTCAATTAAGACTGGATTTGAATACAACAGCCACATGCAGGGTTTGAGCTCACAACATCAGTGTTGACAGGCTAGTGGTACAGTAGATTAACTACTAAGACAACTCGGTTAACATTTGAGATAAAATGGAAGATGCATTTTCAGACTGGTGAAAATATTTTGAATAGGAAAACTTTATTTTTCTACAGACTTCAGCTGATGGTAGTCAAAATACAAAATAATGTTCACATGGGCTTAGAAGTCAGCAGTGATTATTAATTTCAGAAAAGGTTCATTTAAAATAATTTTTCCATAAATTGACATTATATTTTTTTTGCTGATGATTATATTTCAATCATGATGAAACTTTAGCATTAAAATGTATTATTTCTTTGGTGAAAATTCTGTTTGGGGGTAAATGGTTTATTCAGCTAACATGGCTAACTTCTCCTACTGTTGTCAAGCTATAACTTTTATATATAGCAGAATGTTTATGCTTATATACTGTTAAAAGTATGCATATTATCAGGATTTTGATTTTCTTTGAATCCACAAATGACAGGATGTTGAACTTGTCATTTTTGTGAAATCATTTATGCAGGGAACAAGTTTTGATTTTCTTCTTCAAATTTCAAGCTTGAACTTTTATATTATACAAATTGTTTTCACAAAGAGAACTCAATTGTTGCTGATCTGGTGGCATAAAGACGGCTTTAATGCTTTCATAATACATGCATTTAAGAATTACTTGATTATATATTATTAGAACAAAACACTGTATCAAAATTTTGACTGTGACTCCATGAAAACTTTTCTTTAGTAAAATTGCTGAATGTTTTAATTATTGTAGAAAGCTTGACCTTGATTATATATATTTCAGGTTTGCTAATAGTATCAGCTATTTTGGTATATTATTTGCCACACCTACTTTACATGGGAACCAGTTTCTCAACCTTGGAATAAGTGGTGCTGTGGAGATACCAGCACAAATAGTTTGTGTGATAGCCATTAATTTGTAAGTTTGAAAACATTAACTAGAAGATTTCAGCTGTTCGTTTTAAGTCCTGATGGTTTTATATTTTTAGCTTTTCAAACCTATCTTTTTAACCAAAACTGTTTTGGAAAAAAAAAATTAGAACATAGAATGCTTAGGTGAGTTCTTTTTCAATTTGTTTTAATTAAATGGTAAATAATAAGGGGAATGAAAATGATAATTTTATGTGGAAATCATTTGAACGTTACAACTTGCAATGATTTCTCATTATTGCTTGTTTCAGAATCGTATTTGTGAATGTGAATATATAAATTGTAATTTGTATAATTCATAATAAAATATTGTTTGCACTAACTTTCAGTGAAACTTTGAATAATGATTATCTTTTGTGTATTAACTCCTTTTTGAAAAAAAGGTATTTGTTAGCTTTATCATTTTTATTTTTTGCTTAATTACAGATTAGGCAGACGAAAACCACTTATATTTTTCATGTTCTTGTGTGGTATTATGAACATAGTTACAATATTTGTTCCAGAAACAACAGGTATGTAGAAATTGAAGACCACAGTATAAATTTTAATGTAATAAAAAGTCATTTTATTTATTCACATTTAAGATAGAAAACTAAGATGTCTGTAATATTTACTATTAATAGTCAAGTCCAAGTCAATTTATGTATAGAAATTTTTAAGAAACTGAAATTTGGAGTAAATGCCTAAAATTTCGACTATATTTATATCTAAAAGTAGCACATGATGGTATATTTTTGATTACATATTTGCATTGACGAGGTGAAAAATAGTTTGTAAAAAAACCCACTGTGGGATCAAAACTGTATCATATGCATTAAGACACATAAGTATTTAACCCTTGTGTTGTAATTAAATATTGTGGATTAAAAGCGAAAAATATGTGTATATATTTATAAATGTATAGTAATATGAATGATGTTTTATAACCACCAGGTTAAACCTTATAGTTTTATCATTACTTTTTATCTAAAGGAAAACATTGGTGCAGTTTTTATCATTGTATTATATGAATTTCTGACTCTTTTCAGATGATGGTACTGATCTAAAGCCACTAATTATTACATTAGCCATGATAGGAAAGTTTGGTATTACTGGCTCCTATTCAGTTACATATCTGTATGGTAGTGAGATCTTCCCAACAGTAATCAGGTACTCTTAATCTCTATATTCTTTGAATAGAATTGCCTAGAAAATAGAAGATATGTCAAAGTTTAATCAATAAATCATGAATATCAAATTTTAGACCATGTCAGCTCATGCTATAATGGTCAGTGTGAGTTACAGCTCATAGCAATCAACTGGAAAATTCAAAGCTTTAAAACTATGTGTTCTGTTCCCTTTCGTCAAACAAGTTTTGTCAGCAATGTTAAGTACATGTTAATTTCACTTATTGAATGGTGAACTTGTTGACTTGTGTTTAAAAAGTTCAAAGATGAAGTTACAAAATTCATATTATTTAAAAAAAAATATGGCCATTTAACATAAGGTTTCAGTGAAGATGTATACTTATGACATATTTATATTTATTGCAGAAACCATGCAGTTGGTATAGCTTCACTGTTTGAGAATGTTGGTGGAATAGCGGCTCCATTTATAGTTTATGGGGTGAGACTTATTGAATATACAATTCTTTGGATTCTTCATTTATTTCCCCTGGGTAACAATTTTTGTGGATTGAAGAAAACTTGCATTTTCATGGATATTTGAATTCATGGTTTTGCCAAAGTCTGCATACATTCCTATAGAAAAAGTCTGCCTACATTCCTATAGAAAAAGTCTGCCTACACACCTACACTCCTATAGAAAAAGTCTGCCTACATTCCTATAGAAAAAGTCTACCTACATTCCTAAAGAAAAAAGTCTGCCTACATTCCTATAGAAAAAGTCTGCCTACATTCCTATAGAAAAAGTCTGCCTACATTCCTATAGAAAATTTATAATTTCGTTGGACAGTTAAATTGGTGGTTCACCTGTACCCATGAAATCCATGAAAATTGGTGTCCAATGAATAATAATGATTCACAACAGTATCGATCATATTAATTTTGCAATTGTTTTGTGTTACTGATGAACAACATTTGCTCATAAATCAGTTCTTATTTCACTGTAATTCTTAAGGCTTACAATTATTCATTTTAGCCTTATTTTATCATTAATCATCTTTTGAACTCTAAAGTTTACCTTACAACTTAACTGTGGAAAAAGAAAATCATGCAGATGGTGAAAACAAAGCAATCAGAAACATTGCATTGAATGAAGAATACTTAGTAATATTTAAGATTCCATCATCTTTTTAAGAAATGCCACTGCAAGCTTTAGTCAGTTCAACAAATTTGGGAAAATGATAAAAAGATATCACAAAATAACTACTCGCTTCAGAACCATTCATTTCACTCAATGCGTTCCTTAGCTTGAACAAGTATAAATGATGATAGTTTAAAAATTACATCTGCATCAAAATATTGTATTGGTCAAAGTTGAAAACCAGGGCTCTTGGTCATCACAAAACTGAACTTAGTATTCGGAGTACAAAATTTGTCCTCGAAAAACAAAATCTAGTATTTGATTGGTTGAGTTCTGAATCTTGAGTATGATAATTGTACTCAAAATTTGTATGACCGCAAGGCCAGACTTAACACTCTTATTAAAGTCTTTGACTATTGTATATTGAATTTTTCTTACAGGCAACATCTTTAGCAAAGCTCCCACTGATAGTATTTGGTGGGTTGACAATTGTTGGTGGGATTTTAATATTCTTCTTGCCAGAAACACATGGGCGACCTCTACCTGAAACGATAGAGGAAGTTGAAAAAATGACAAAAGAAGTTGTCTATGACAAAACGATATATCACCAGGCCATGAGTACACAGTTGGCTGGAATAAGAGAACAAAACACACGATTGTAATTGTTATTTACAAATCTAAGAGGTTAACTGTTCATTAGAGAAATCATTTATTTGGTTATTGTGGGATGTAGACAACCGAAGTTTGTCTTGTTGGAAATTGGGTCTGTACTCTTCAAATGCACACAAAACTGTGATTTTGTTATTACATAGTGCTATTATCATTATATTGTCACTTGAGTTTTCAATCTTGTTCACTCACACTAGTGTTGCTTATCTAATTACAGTTTTTCTTTAAAGATGTGAGTTTTCCATCATGATTTCTGGACAAGCATTTTCATTAAATTAACCACTACTAATAATGTTATAGAAAGAAATTTATTTGAAAAAGCTTTCATGATCTCTTTGGTACAATTGACATTGAAACAAATTTATTTAACTCCTATATTTAAAAAAAAAATGATTTGAATAAAAAAAGGAGGGACACTGTTCAACTTTGTTTTCATCAGAGTGTTGAACTTATTTTTCTTGATGAGTGAGAAATAGGAGTGGAAATATGTATTTATCAAACATACATCAATTATATTTCACGTTATCTTGCCATTGCTTAGTACAGTAGACTCCACCTAATTGGATATCGGCTAAACGAATATATCGGCTATTGTAATATTATTTCAAAACACCAAACCCTTCCCTATATGTTTAATGTTAATTTTATCGTGTAATCGAATATCGGATATAAGAATATATCGGCAAATCGGATAAGAATATTCAGGTCATTTTGTTCAAAACCATGCACAATCGGATATTTCAATGTTTTTCTGACAGGAAATGGACCCGGAAGTTACGAATTTACAATCTTGCAGACAAGAAGATTTTGTTTTTACTAAATAAAAGGAACTATTTCTTAATAAATTGTTGTCTTTAATCATTGTCTTCCTATGTCATGTGAATTAGATGCCCTTTTACTTCAAATGGTTTGAATTTATTTATAAAATATGCAAGACTCAGTTGACAAGTTGACGTTGCTGTTTGGAGAATTTTGATTAACTCTAAATGTTCACAGAATCAGAAATATAATCTAAACTGAATGTACCTCCTTCTGAATAATTTATTGCAATATAAATATAAATCCCTTTTGACAAGAGAAATCTGACTTTTGTCAGATATATTTTTTTCACATGTGCAAAAGTAACCACATGTCATGGACGCCATTTTGGATGTTTACAAATTTGTGAGAAAGCCTCTAGAACTATGACCTAAATATAAATAGTCTGCAGAAAACATAAACTTTATGCAATAATATTTTATCAATCATGATTATTTTCATAAATTCAAATTTGATTATTTAAAGAAATAAAATTATAACAAATACGATTTTAGTTTGGAGATTCTACACAGACATGCTTAGATCTATTTATAGCCAAATTAGTTTACCTGTGTGATAATGTAAATAATGGATATTAATTTGCTTACAAAACAAATAAAGACAAACTATGGATGGTAGATAATAATTCACATAAATATTTCAAGACATTTGATTTATTTTAATAAATAAAGGATTTAAAAACTGCAAACAAATTTAATCATTACATAATCAGCTGATAATTTTTTACACAAACATCGTGGTGATGTAACTAATAAAAATCACTCCATCAATCCTCCAGCCCTTTCACATATTTAGCAATTGTCAGGGTTAGTAACATCTCAGGATTATATCTACTCATTATTGCAGAATATTCAATGAATATACATTCATCGTCTAATTGAATATATCGGGTAATCGGATATTTTTAGCTGACATTTTGGGTATCCGATTTGCCGGAGTCTACTGTATTGTATTCTATGCATTTACTATAGTCCCATATCATTTCGTATGTGTCACTTGCCTAGCAGAGTTGACACAATACATCACTATCTGTTACCTAGTGTTGTCTGTGTTATCTACACAGTTTTGTTATCTGCTGACCCCTCTCACAACACCCAACATTAACCTACAAAATTAGCATAGACTTTCATCAGCCAAAGAGAATTTTTCTTTATTTTTTTAAGAGAGATACACACATCTCTTTTTCACAACTCAGTCTAAGTTGCTTCAGAATAAGATAAGCAAAATTGCAAAGATTCTTCCCAGTGGTCAAAATTGTTGTTGTTTTTAGCATACAAAAGGACAGCCCCTAAAAGTGTTTTTAATCCTCTGTATCATAACCTTATATTTAGTGATTGTGCAGGTTTATTTCTGGGGTTCCACACATTTTCATTTTGACAGTCAGCAGAAATACCCTAAGTTAGTAAATGAAAAAAAAAATGGACCATACCTCACTGTCTTCTCTTAAATCTCATGTAAATTATCATATGTTATTATTTTCCTAGAAGTATGACTTGACAGTAAAATGTAAAAAGAACTAATATTTTGTAGTACTGAGAAATAATTGATATATTGTATAGTAGACATTTGCCTTTTGTTGATGAGTGTTGGTTGATCTGAAGTTGGTTTTGATTTTTTTATTATTTTGTTGGTTTCCTTTCTCATTCATGTACTCCCCACATCTATATCATGACACATCATGACAAAACAAGATATACATAAATTACTTGCTATATTTTCTATAAGTTTATTATTATATTTATTAGTGCAGCTTTTGTTCCCAATAGTGATAAATTTTATTGTTAAATTTCAATTTTCCTTATGTTTATTATCAGATTTATTTGTGCAGCTTTCGTTTCCATTAGAGTTACAATATTTATGTAAAATTTTAATTTTCTATTTTATACCTGTTATATTTGTTTGTTTTAGGATACATATCTGAATGATCTTAAATTTGAATACATTTTCTCATCACCAATTCATTTAATATTTTTATAGAAACAGTTAATTCTTTGGAATCAGTATAACTCACCAGGTATGCCCTTGAAATATAAATGAAAATACATGCTCAAGTCATTGAATATAGTTTTGAAGATTTTTTATCATGAAAAAAAATGGTGCCGAATACTCACAAGTATCCACTTTTGGGGCATTTATAAGTCTTTACTAAGTAGATTGCTGTAATTGGTGTCTACCATTAGTTATAAAGTTAAGAAAAGACCCAGTGGGTTACTTTGCAGCAAACTTATAATTTTATTTATAAAGATGGTCCTTTAAAGCCATTATAGTTTCTATGACAATTTTTAAAGAACAGAATTGAAATTCTATTTGGTGTTGATACCATTTTGACAAATAGGATAAAGGGAATAAACCTCAGTTTTGTATTTTTTTCTTTAGTAAAGTAGTTTGTTGCGACAAATATTATAATATGGTTTTGTGATTGTCCTTTTGAATTTGCTTGTAATGATTGCTATCTTCAAATCAAAACTTTGACCATTTCAAATTTAATTTTGTTGAAAAAAGAGATTTTTGAATTATAAGGTTAGAATTAATAATTGTGGTACTTCTCTATGTTTAATAAAAAAATTATCTTTTTAGAAATTTTTGGATAAAGTGTTCGATTTATTCTTGTGTTCCATAGAAAATACTCACAATAAGAAGTTTATTGGAAGGGAATAAGATTGCCTCAAAAATATAAAGATTTTAAAGATCAGTTATTTTAGAAGTTTTAAGTTTCATTGGATGAAGATGTTTATAACTCCTGTTTATCACCCATAATTTTATGAAATGAAAGAAACAATGCTGCATAAAAAAGTTGTACATTTTGCCTTTTGAGGATTACTATGAGCCCATCAGAGCCTCTCATTATTTTTATGATATTAATGTCTGTTAAGAAGTGTGTATTGTGATGGGGCCAGGAAATGCATTAAAGGTTATGATATTAGCAGTTCATGTTTCCTTTATAAATCCTCGTGTGTTAATGTTATTTTCACCTCTTTATTATGTATTTGATCTTTGCATTTATGAATCTCATGATAACAACTGTTACAATTTATTTTGTTTGTTTAATAACATAATTTTTGTTTTGCTTCTAGTTAATGTTTAATTGCTCAGCATTTTTTATAACTGCTTTTATTATGCATTTTTTGATGAATTCGTTTTTGTTTTATGTCTGATTTTGTGGTAAGAATGGTTTTATAAGTTTTTGTTAAACAAAGATATATAATTCTTCATTTGTACAGAACTTTTAAAAGATATCAATCCAACAATCTAAAAATGATATTAGCTTTAACTTGCTTTTTTGTTGTACACTAACTGAAAATTATACATGTTGAGCACTAATGTCTTATGAAAATATAAAATCCATTAAAGAATCAAAATCATATTTCAAAACACCATTTGCAATTTTAAGCAGATACATATTCTCTTACAAAATGTTTTTATTTTTATTTAGAAATGGTTGATGTAAAACCATTTTTGTTTTCTTTTTGACACTGTTCTCAAGCATGTGGGCATTAATAAGAAAATGATCTGAAGCCATTAAGATACCCTGTTTTGGTTATTAAAACTTTAAATTTTTTTAAATAAATAAAAATGAAAAAATGCAATGGTGATTTTGAGTGCAAGAGATATGTATGTTGACATATAAGTAGAATAAACCGTATAAGACTACAAGTACTTTAAAAATGTTTGTATAGTTGTGTGTAGGGAATATAAAATAGAGTGTATACTTGTGTGTAGGGTGTATACAATAGAGTGTATAACTGTTTACTTCATTATATGTGTTTATGGTCTTAGAATAAAGTCAACATTGCATATAATGCAATTACTGTCTTTTGATGATGTAAATATGTGGTTTTATTGAATTTTGAAAAAACTAATATTCACTGAGGCTAATTGGCCGAAGTAAATATCAGTTTTTCAAAAGTCTCTAAAACAGTTTCAAATATGATTTTTTGTTCTCAAAATATGAATTTTGTTCAAAACAAATGATGTCAGCAAAACAGAAGATGTCACTCTACAAAAGCAAGCTTAAAAGAATCAAATGCCTTCAACATTTTAAAGCAACAGCTTTCACTTGAGTAATGACAACATCCAATTTTTCATTAAAAATCACTTTTTGTGGTAAATAGTTCTTAAATTTGATGTTACCAAAATTTGATACATTTGTATGTCATTCAAATTACATATGCATAAAAAAAAGTTGACATTGTCACACTTAGGTTACAATGATATGATCAAAATGTTTGCTGTCATTGAAGCGTGATGTATTTTTGTTAATAAAAGTTTTTGGGAATTTGTTAGTCTTTCATTCTTTAAGATATCTGTTGCCAATCCATACAAAAGTGAAAATTGATAATGTGTTTATGAGGTTAAGGAGCAATTGGTGTTAAAGATGCTCATTTAAGACTTATTTAAGGTGTACTCTTTGTGGTATTAATACTTGCATACCTTCCTATAGAGAATAAGCAAAGGCTACCATTTGTCATTGTGTCATCTGATTGACCCTAAATGACATTTTTCATGCCCCTGTGACAAAATGTCAGGGAACATATTGCTTTACCCCTGTGTGCCCGTGTGTCCGTCCATCTGTCTGGTCTTGTTAGCGCTCTCACGTGTACAATTCTTGCCAGATTTTTATGAAACTTATATCATAGGTTTATATCATCAATGTCTTAGACAAGTGGGAATTGTGGATGCTATTTACACCAGGTAAGATATCACATAGATTGATAGATACTACATAAATTATGAAACAAGTAGCTGTGTTACCTATCCTAACACAGATAAGATCTTGTGTTCCTTATGAGTCAGCAGATATGGGAAGATTGGTCTTTTTATCAAAAGGTAATAAAACTGGTTTTGAAGTTTTGTATACAGTGTAACTAATTTTTACGTGCTATTTTTTGCGGGACTTTGTGAATATCACCAACTTGGATCTTTTCTAATATAAATACATCAACAAAGTTATAAAAATTTGTGAAAATAAATGGATGTGAAGTTTGGTTAGTAATGGCTGAACCCAGGAATAAGTTGGATTACTTAACAGTATACATAGGGTAGGAAAATCCAGAAATATTGGTATCAGCTGAGTATTAATAAATTCAAATACCTGCTCATACCAGGATCTGATATCCATGATTCCTAACTATATTAATGGCTGGATAATATACGAAAGAAATGGTATTCTAAAGTTATTATTATAATTTGAAGTATTTTGTTTTTGAGTAAAAAAAAAAAAATTGAAACCCATCAAAGAGAGAAGAAATATATTTTTACATAAATCAGGTACTATTATAAAGTTACAAGAAAAAAGTAAAATAACAGAAATACCAAACTCCAAGGAAAATTCCAAACGGAGAGTCCCTTATCAAATGACAAAACACATCAAACAAATGGAAAACAACTGTCATATTCCTGTCTTGGTACAGACATTTCCTTAAAACATGCTATTATTTCAACTTGGAATTATTTTTAATTATGGAATTTGCATAATTTATTGTGCTTGAAGTTTTTGATAAATTCCATGTTTATTCTGTATTATAATGTTTTGAACGGTGCATAAAACTTTCCATACAATGTATTTTATATAGAAAGTGTTGTGCGCTGCACAGTACATTCTATTGAAAATGTGTTATTTTCTTTGTAATAGACCTTTTCAACAATTGTCTACACCTACAGTTGAGAACGACTACGACAGGTGAGATATGAGGGGTCGTCTCAAAAATAAAATTGAAAAAATATTATTGATCGCATGTGATTATTTTGATTGCCAATGAGACCACTATCCAACATGACGTGTATATAATCAATTGTTGTGTACCGTACCTTATTTTGTTTATTAGGTATTTGTTTATCAAAACTAAATTTATTTGTGAATTGACTATGAAGAAAAGGAAGGACTTCAATGCTTCATTTCTTTTAGACGTCGAGTTGAAAAATGAAAAAAAAAAAAAAAAAAAATACCTGTATTTTTGTAGTAGATGTTTAATTAATCAATGTTTTATATCTGTTGACTAGGGCGGTACATGTTTTTAAAGGCCCTTGGTGTCTCATCTGATTCAGATTCAGATTCAGATTCAAATCGTTAGCTTTTTTGTTCGTTCTCTTGCTATTTTTATGAATTCTGACCCCCCCCCCCCCAAAAAAAAAGGAAACAAAGTTACTATCTTTGATAAAAAAAAAAGGAAATAAATGTGAGAGCGAAGCATAATGTCAAAATATCAAATTGTAAACTAAATATTCTATTGTGACAAAAACTTACCAATTGCAATGACCAACTTAATTAGGAATTGTTTGAGGAGCATAAAACATGCGGCGGGGTTTCACCAGTATAATTGGGATCTTAAATCTCCCCAATGTATGGTCAGAGATGAAATTTAAAAACTTTATGCATGGAAAAAATAGAAAAGAGTAGAAAACCAAAGCTATGTCATGAAAAGGGGAAGGGTAAGCAGTTCTCGCTTCTTGCAAGACACACGAAGGTCATTTTTCAGGAACAGGGAAAGGAAAGGAAAGGAATCTACGACAGGGGAAAAGGTATGTTCACGTCTTTCGGGACACGGACAACCTATAACGGTCAATCAGTTCGGCGCTGTCAAAAAGACACTGCAAGGACAACAAGCTCTGTTGGGATATAAATACCATACGCATCACTGAAGAGACATTAATTGTAAAAATGCGCATGTGGCGCAGAAAAAAATGGTGCCGCTAATGTTTCCAGTTCATAACGGAAACATCTCAATTTTAACATGGTATCTTAAAGCGGAGTAGTCTCTCGTAACTAAATTATCTATGTGACCTTTTCCTTTGACCTTTAAACAAATAGGCTTTTACCCCTCCCAAAATTGAATGTGTACAACAAGTGACGCGAAGATCGGTTGAGAAACACAACTCTAGCGGACGGACGGTAGTCCTGTAACAATGTTCCTTCAGCAAATTCATAAATAGCATTACAAAAGCGAATTAATCGCAATTGGCATGTGGAACAATCTGCGTTGACAGTCTCGCTTATCTAAATACTCACATAATCATGAAATTTAAGAAGAAAAAAAGGCAGATTATGTGAATTGATTGCAGTAATTATTTACTTGAAGGTTTAATAAATTCAACGTCAAATGTCGTATAACTACATGTAATAAGAATGCTATACAAAAGGTAGAGATATAGTTCATATTTGTTTGAAATATGTTCTTTCGTCAAAATAGTGTAAAACGATAAATCGGAGATGTAAAAGTAATACTATTCATGAATGATTTTTAGTTTTGAGACGACCCCTTCATTTTACCTGTAAACTGTAGGTGTCATTAGTCGGTGTCGAGAGTTATTGAAAAGGTCTAATAGAAAGTGTAGTGCGCCGCACAGAACATTGAAATACAGAATAAAAATGGAATTTATCAAAAATTTCAAGCACACGAAATTATTCAAATTCCATAATTAAAAATAATTCCAAGTTGAAATAATAGCCTGTTTTTAGTAGAAAATTGTGGATTAAACCTGGTTTGATAGCTAGCTAAACCTCTCACTTGTATGACAGTCGCATAGAATTCAATTTAAATTGACAACAATGTGTGAGCAAAACAAACAGACATAATAGGTAAAAATGTCAAAAATTTGGATACAGCAGTCAACATTGTGTTGTAATCTTAATCACTATAGAAAAAATAATTATTTGAACAAAGAAAAACAAAATGGCATATAGACACTCTATAGACGAAGTACATAAGCAATAATAAAGGACAAGAATACAAAAATGACCATAGCACAATAACAATGGCGGGATGTATAAATACCTAACCACGCCAAAAGTATGTACCATAAATGGACTACAGTAAAGGTTAAAATATACAAAGACAAATAAAAAGAACACTATAACACGTGATTAAGATGATAAACAATGTCAGTACCTAGACTATACTTCAAGACCATCATGTATTATGTGTGAAGTTGATACGGAATATTTGTCAACAAGGGCTTGGTATCTTCCGATGAACTTTTTTAGAATAAGGACGAGACGTTCTTTGACATAACCCTGGTTCATCAACTTTCTGCTCAGACACTGGTGACGTTTTATAAAGTCTGAGTAGCAGCTGCAAGCTCTTGAATACTGAATGAGTTGAAAAATGTATATCCCATATGCGGGTGAAATAAGAATTGAAAATTGTTTTTCTAATTTTAAGGAAGATTGTAGTATAATCTCTGAAAATATTGATACAGACAAGCAATTTAATTATATTCTCTCCAGCATAAAGTATTGTGCATGCTTTTTTTTAAATATGATTATGAAAATGTTTGGAAATGAAAACACTGTAAGTTAAGAAATTAATGAGTGCATTTATAATTGCGAATACTTGAACACTGGCAAAAACTTGAAAACAAATTAATGCAGTTACATTTTTGTATCAGCTTGTCAATGGCTGTGCTGGGTAAATTATGGATTTAATGTTGCTAGACTAGCATCAATACCTCAGGACATTTTAAATACTGCAGCTAAAAAATCTCAGGAGTTTCATAATTGGCTTGTTATGAAGAGGTAATACTGACTGTATTACAAAAAAATCTACAGATCTTTCACACCTGTAGAAACGTTCATTGTACCATACTTTAACAACATGCATATAGGTTTATTGAATCGCCTAAAAGGTTTTTTGAATTACAAAAACAAAAGCTAATCAATGGCAGACAGCCATAGTCTAGATTTCTGACTTGGGACAGTCACATTGTCAATTTAATTGAATTCTATGCCACTGTCATACAAGTGAGAGTTTTAGCTAGCTATAAAACCAGGTTCAATCCACCATGTTCTGCATAAGGAAATGCCTGTACCAAGGCAGGAATATGACAGTTGTTTTCTATTGGTTTGATGCGTTTGAGCTTTTGATTTGCCATTTGATAAAGGACTTTCCTTTAATTTTTCCTTGGAGTACGGTATTATTGTTACTTTACTTTTTTAGAGAGTGACGTGGACTTATTTTCTTAATACTTTATCTTTTTATTTTGATCAGTGGAATAACAAATGTTATATAGAAGAGCATAAACAAGATTATACATTAGTTCTTTAGTAGTGTAACAACATTAAGAATGACAACTACACAGATACAATCTAAATAATATTGAATAATAAAATATCCAGGAATAACAGTGTCGGACTCAAAGCAACTTCCAAATCTGTGATATTTGCTTTTTGGTGGGACAGGATAGATTTCTCCAATTTATGTTTATGTATTGTCCTAATAATGACATCCTGCTTAATCATCTTAAAAAAAACCCATGAAAAATAGTTGCAGTTTTTTCACATTTTAGAGAGAGAGAAGAAGAATTCACGAACATCTACCTTACGGAAGAAACAACAATTTTATACCAGGCGTTATAAAATTTTTCTGTTATGCAATAAACATTTTATAGATTTAGAGGTGTTGTATGGCAAGCCGTTCTCGTCAAAACTATGTTTAAACCATTTTTCAAAAAATTAACACACTGAGAATTAAAAAAAAAAAAAAAACACACTGAGATTAAAAAACCTAAACACACACACTGAGAATTAAAAATTACACACTGAGATTTCATAAAAACGCACTGAGATTACGGTGAAAAACTTTATTAAAATTATAAGAAAACATTGGAACAATCTGCAAAAATACAAACAAAGCAGTGATTTTTTTTCTCAAGTGCCTATTATAGCATATAAACGTAACAAAAATAAAAGATTACCTTGCGAAATCAGGGTAACAGTTGAAAGAATTTTGAAACGGGACCATGCTTAAACAGTTTTAAGCAAAAAATCCCGATAAACTGTTAGTAATAATCTGAATTATAGGCAACAGACTTATGAATATGAGTTAGCAAAAAAAGTTGTTAAGGCTTGAAATTTATTACGAATGTTGGTTGTAGGAAACCGCATTTCATTATAATAACAAGAGTTCGGGATGCCAAGATATTAATCTGTTGAATTATTCATCTCATGAATATTCATTAGTAATTTGCATATTAATCTCAGTGTGTATTTTTGAAATCTCATTGTGTAATTAACAATTCTCAGTGTGTGTTTTTCAATTTATTTCATCTCAATGTGTCTTTTTAAAATCTCAGTGTGTAATTTAAAAATTCTCATTTTGTGTTTTTCATTTTTTTAAATCTCAGTGTGTAATTTTAAAATCTCAGTGTGTAATTTCGATTTCTCAGTGTGTTATTTTAGGTTCTTAAATCTCAGTGTGATTTTTTTAATTCTCAGTGTGTAATTATTTCGAAAAAATGGTTTAAACATAGTTTTGACGAGAACGGCTTGCCATAGTGTTGTGTTTGTTATACACATGTTTACAAATTGAAGTAAATCTAAAGTTACATAACTTTTACCTGATGTCATACGTTTGTACAAGAAATGTTTCTTGGTCACATCAAATGATTAAGAAATTTTGCAGCTATATATCAGCCATGTTAATTGATTATTTAAAATAATGAATATTTATGATTTTTGACCTTTCAAAACGATTGATTGATTAACAGACATGATCCTGAGATATTTTCTCCTGACAGTTTTCATTCTCTTAGCTCAACAATCTACCTTTAGCTTTGACTCGTAATGACCCAAAATGAAAGTTAACGTAGTCCCTATGTTTTCTTGCTAGTTTCTATCATGATAAAGGTGCCCTTGACTCAAATCTTAATTGACTACGATTGTCAGTTTTCCTAATGAAGGTCGGTGGTTCTCTCCTAGCACTCTGACTTCCTTTACCAATAAAAACTGACTGCAACGAAACAGCACAATAATGCTTAAAGTGGCGTTAATCATCAATAAATAAATCAATCAATTTATCATGAAAACACACAAATACAATTCAATAATTAATTATCAGATTTTCACCATATTAACTGTAAGACAAAATACGAAGCCTTTTTGACGAAAACCTGCATATTGTGACTCACATCTTATATTTTGCAGTACATTTATTGATATGCAAAAAACCTGATAATCGGTACTTATAAATCCCTTTTATTTTTTTGTAGTTTATGATGAGGCATATCAGTTTTACTGTCTCTCTTTACTGACTCTCTATCTTATCCTTAATCCATTATTCAGGTTATTAAAAGTTTTTAGGGCAAAAATTCCACTAAGAGCAATCAAATCTCTTTTGTCTCTTTCTTAATACATGTAGATACATCTTAACACAACATGGCACAGTGGTGTGAACATTGAAACGATTCATCCATACCTATATTAATCAGATATATATATAATATATAATTTACAAAATCGTGTGTTTATGTATTTTATACTTTTCAGGAAAATTAATTATTAAAATAAAACATGTGACAAAATTTAGCGCTGGCGTATGCATGTATCTGTTCTATCTACAAATGAAGATAATTCAATTCAAAATGTTAACTATACTTATTTCTTTTCTTCATACAATGCAAAGTTAAATTCACATTGCAGTTGAAAGCAAAACGAAAAGAAAGATTAAGGTCAAATAATCTGATGAGTGGAAGATACATTTTTATTATACTTGCTTTTCATTCGTTTTTTTAATGGGCTATCGCTTCTTGGATGTGACGAATGCAGATTTCCGAATATTTTCATGACGGAAGAGAAACATTCTGGAAATACTTGTTCATATTGGATGTTATCAGTAAGAAGTTTAAGAAAATTCAAGATGTATGCGGCAATCAATGTAAATATCAGTTAAGAGATCTCTTTCTACATTAATCATTATTCATATGAAATTTTGAGTGCATATTTGATCTTAGACATGTTAGATGTCAATAAACTTTCTTTTGTTTAGTGTCTTTGACCAATTTTTCGATGTTTTGTGGTTTAAGAGGAAAACACGAAAGCGTGGCCTATCTATCCTTTTGATTAACAGTATTAAGCAAGAGGGGATGAAATCAAACACGAAGAAAAACGGTTCTGAATGATTTGAATAATAAATCTATCGAGCATTTTGATAATTTTCGAATTCAGAATATCAAGTTAATATCTAATCTGTGTAGTCTTTGTAATAATTGTTGCAGAGCCAATAACCCATACTTAAGGTTGTCCATTTGGTGACTCTTTCGCATTTGTAATTCTGAAAATTAATAATTAAATAAATGAACAGACGTTGAATAAGCAAATGAATCCATTGTATGGTTAAACAAACAAATCCTTGATTAAAACCAGGCAATTATTACCCTAGGCCAAATTATACACCACAACACATTTGAAAGATAGCCATCCAAAATGGGAGGTGGCTGAGAGTCTGTGCAATTTTATTTGAAATTTGAAATTTTATTTTACCGACTTTGAAACTTTGGTAGCTCTATTCAAAACTAACCGCGTGTTTTGGCTCATATGTTATATATAGAGTCTTTAATGTCTGCATGTTTCAATGGCATTTCTAACTAGTCCACTTGTGAACGTTGTACTGTTGTTTAAAGATACTTAGTACACAAATTTGTATGATTCCAAATTATATATGATATACGAAAAAATAAGCCTCTTGGAATTTTACTTTTATGTTTATGAATGTTAATTTATGAATGTTTAATCATTTGTAATATATTGTCCACAAAAGGAGATAATTACTAGTTACTTCGAACCCTAAAAGTGTTATTTTTATTTCCATTACCATACAATTATCTGTAGTATCACTTTTAGCAACATCATACCTAAGTAATTTGGTAGTCACTGGTAAACAGTTTTGTATCCAGACAATATTTGGATTGGTATGCAGACGATTATATGTACTTACCGGATGTCGGTTATAATGGCGTCTCCTGCTTTGTCATTGGTGAACAAGGTATTCCAAGGCTGGGTCGTCATGCCTTCGTGGTGTACAGATTGATGTCTGGGTACCAATAAGTCTTCACTACACATGTGAATGAGCCCAGTTCTTGTGCCTACGACTACTATTGGCAAATTATTTCCATATAGACCACTTGCTACAGCAGTGGGCTCTGGGCCCTGATAAAAGAATTAAGGAGTATGACAGTGGATGATTGAAATATAAAAGACAGTATGACTATTGGAAAGCTTTCTACATACTTTTATTTAAAGAATATAAAACCAGACACTTGTCTGTTTTCATGTCAATAAAGAAATACTAGATCCTTGGTATTGATTTTAATGTCACAATTTCCATACTTATGTTCCTTTGCTTTTTGAGAGTTTTTTGCTGTACATGTACATGCACTGATTTTGTGTCATGGATGGATACCCCATTTACTTTGTTTTTCTTTTATTAAACATGTCAGAGTACTACAAAATGAAATATATGGGTCAAGTGAAATACCTTTCTAATGAGTCATATAATAGTAGGTGTGATTTGAAAAACAATTTTTTACTAAAAGTACTTGACGACAGACTTTACAAGTGGGTCTTAAAAATGCATAACTTCAACAATTTTTTTTTATGTGAGTGGTATCTATGGTAATAAGTCTTCAACCTCTGAAAATATTTTATCTGCCCTTCCACGAAATATTTATTTAGAATTTTTTAGCATTTTTAACAGTTAATATTTCAATTTTTTTTTTTAATGCCTGGATTTTGCTATAAACATTGAATTAACAAAATAAATGACACAAATCATATGCAATGAAGTCTCGTTTAATTTTCTATGAAATAAAAAAATCAATTAAATATAAAATTTGAATTAGAGTATTTTTTTAAAAACAATTACAGTGAAACATTAATATTTGATTATTTTGTTTTAGCAAAAAATCAACTTAATATCAGAATTTTTTTCATAATATTCATATTTTCTTAAAGTTCTTTATGATATATATTTCTTTGGTAGTGTACACGGGAAAGATAATCATATATTTGTACATTTTAGAAAACTTGTGTATATCACAAAAAATAAACTCTGGAAGTACATGTGTACACAGGATATTAATGTTAAGGGGTGGGTGGTTGCTGGGGGGTAACAGACAAAAAAAAAAGCTTTCGAACGTCTTATAGTGTAGGAGTTTGTTAATGTTTGTTCAAAAAAATCAACTAATTTACCAGTTTGCATCAACATTGTTAGCGGGCTTTCCAGCTGCTTGCCTTGGCCATGAAAACAGTCGTTAATATATTTTCAGCTAGCAACGCAATTCCAGTAATTATACTAGTGTCCTCGACCAGAACAATTCATAAAGTCAAAGTAAGGCAACATCAGCAAGTACAAGGAATGAAGATAAAGCAGCAAAGTGTCATTAAATTATAAAGCATAGAAAAATACACACCTGGGGCAAGAGCGCATGATATGAGATACGGCTCTTATTGTACATCTTGAAATTGTTTCAAGAATAGAAAGGGATATCTAGAAGACAATTAATCGTAAGCCGATTAATTGTCATGTATGTATTGTGTCAATTATAACTGTTATTAGTCTCATAACTATGGAATGAAAAATAGTTTTTGGGTAATATCCATCGGTTCTCGGGTCAATATTCAGTTCTTGGGAGTACCATCTACATCTACATCTACATCGTACGACGATCCATCAGCACATTGATGACTTAGTTATACGTCGGCGTATCGCAAACAGACACTTGTTAAAAGATAACAATTTATGAGTGCAATGGTCAAAACTAATTGTGTGCAAAAATAAAAAAATAAACACATTTATATATTTACAAACAACGTGAACAAGGTAGATGTCTAAATGTACTGACTTTGGATTAGTACTTTAAACTGATCCAAAGAGTTAACGCTAATGAGTTTTGTGGAAGTGAATTCCACAGTACAACTGTAAATGGGAAAAAACTGTACTTAAAGTAATCTGTTCTGGTACTAAATGTTTGATATTGTAGTGAATTGGTAAATCTGGTGTTTTTTACTGGCTGTGGTGAAAGGTAAAGGTTTGGATCTACTGCTATAAGTTTGTGTGTTATTGTGTACATCATTGTTACTCGATTGATGTTTCTGCGAGTTTCAATAGACTTCCATTTAAGATGGTCAATCATGGAAGTGACACTACTGGTGTTATGCTACCTGTTGGTGAAGTAGCGTGCTGCCCTTCTTTGTACTTTTTCAATGTAATGTTTTGTTTTTTGGGTGTTAGGAGACCAAACTCAAGAGAATTATTCAAGGTTTGAACGTACTATAGAAATATAAGCCAAACTTTTAGTTTCTTCCTGATTTATTTTTAAAGGGAAAATTCGCAATTTTTGACTTACAACCTAAATATGATCATCATAATATAAAATACATATGCACAAAGTTTTATCGATATATGTGCAGCAATAAAGAAGAAAATCAATAATTTTTTATAGACTACTTCCTGCAGTACGTGACGTTAACTACTGATATTGCATGCCGGGATTTAAAGAAAAATCATTTAAAGTCTTGTTCTTTACTCATATTTCAACGTAAGCATAAGCGCGCCGATGACTGATTTTCATAGCTAATTACCATTCAATAATAAGAAAATAAAACGAACAGACATGCAACTTGTTATATTCATGTGTTAAAATTTTCTATGTTTACCTATATATTTCGATTTTTGATATGTTGATAGCGCAAAAAGTAAATCTTTTAATTGTTTTTAATATTTTCTTTTCCAACGAAAAACCGATTTTTTTTTTAGAGAATATAACTTTAACTGTAAGGACAATAAGTCACAATACGTTCTGACCCTTAATTCAAGCAAACATTTCTACGCTAGGTATCGGTATTTAGTCGTGTCTCTAGGGCACACCATGCCAGGTGTGAATGTCATTTCGAATGGATTATAATACAGAAGGTCGAGTTTAATACATAAAGTTAAAATACACATTAAAGGTGTTGGCAAATACAAATAGATCGCCGTGGAATATTAAATTATATATAGGGTTTGGTCCGTTGTTAACCAAATCATGATATTGAACATGTATTTCATATACATGTAGGATGAATAAATCCGATGTTATAAAAATGATAAATAATGTTCAAATTAAATCTAAAGGAAAAGTTATTAAAATCAAAATGATTTTTTCATTTGATCAGTTTAGAAACGAAGAAATAATCTTGGGGAAACTAATAATCAAGTATTATAATGAGAGTATATCATTTGACTGACCAAAACGAAAAAAAACTAAATTTTATAAAATTGTTGTATTCAAAGCGCTTTTGATTTACCTCATACAGTTAAATAATGTACGGAAACACTCTAATCTAAATATTTTAAATCTTGGTATGTGTTACCTGGCCAAAAAGTGTTTAATTAATATCGGAAATCATCTAAAGTCAACTTTGCCTATTTAGAACGGAACCGAAAAAATACATAGTTCGCCATGGAAAATGTTTAATACTTTTGCTTTAATGTAAATATTCACATATATAAAACATTCATACATATAAACATGTATAAAACCTCGTTCACACGGTGAAAAAAAAAATATAACACAAAATCATTCAACACCGAAGTTAGTTTTAGATAATTAACGGGTGCACTTTTGGTGGAACGTGGCTGTATCTATCCGTTCTTCAGGCTGCTTCAGCTAACGATCTTCCTTTTTTTTATCCAACAGAACAAAATGTTTTTGATTTCCGAAATCTTTTATTAACTGTATTACAATCATGATGGAGGAGTTTACTTTGTTAATAAAAAGGGAATTTTTCATGATTCTAAAGGGTTACATTTGATATTTGTTCAATTCTAAGTCTCGAATATAAATAGGAAATAAAACTGCAAAGGTGGATGTAATTATAAATGTTTTAAATTCGGCTGAAGCGTTTCAATCATATATTATTCAGTGGAAGAACACGTTTGTGATTTGTATTTAAGACAGACTGGAGGAATCGGATTTTCAATGTGCTTTATATCTTGTACCTTTGCAAGACTTGTCATTCATATTATTCAGTAAGACACATTATTCCCACTCTAAACAGACAAGAATACTCGGACAAGCGGACAAGCAGTAGTACTTTTAAACTTCTGTGATTTAATACCAAGAAAAAAACTCACCGAAATTAATTTGATACTCAGTATGTTTCCTTGAAAATAAACATTTTCTCATTCCGTCTGAAAATAAAATATGAAATTGGTAAACAGAACATTCAGAAGTGTGAATGTCATAAAATCTTGTTATATTAGAAAAAGGTATTGAACGCCATTATAAACGTGAACCCGTATACGTAAGACTTCATGGGACGGCACCTTACCATATACAGGTAATATACATGTAGCTCTGTAATACCCAGAAATGTCAAGGTAAATAACTACCTATACAGAATGTACCATGTCAAAGAAATTCTCACGATTGTAAAGCATGACTATTCTTGAATAAAGAGGAGTTCTGGGTGGGGACTAGATTTTTTTTCTCAACTTATATCACTAGATTAAAAAAAATATTTCTAATTACATCCAGTAACAAAATTCTTTTTGTAAATACATAGAATACTCCATAATATCGGCTACAGTACTTGGTGGCTTGGTGGACAAGCAGTAATTTTAAATTTCTTACGATTTAATACTAAGTAAAAAACACCGAAATTAATTTGATAGTCAATATGTTTCCTTCAAAAATTACATATCCTCATTCGGTCTGAAAATAAAATATGAATTTGGTATACAGAACATGCAGAATTGTGAATGTCATAAAAGAATTTGGTATACAGAACATGCAGAATTGTGAATGTCATAAAACCTTTTTATCATAAATAGGTTTTGAACGCAAATATAAATATAAACCTGTACATACGTGAGACGTCATTGGACAGCAGCTTTCACTATACAGGTAATATACATTGAGCTCCGCTGTAATATCCGAAAATGTAAAGGTAAATCACTACCTAAACAGAAGGTTCCATGTCACAGAAATTATCAAGATTGTAAAGCATCACCAGTCATCTTTTAAGAGGTGTCCTAGGTGGGGTAAATGGTTTAAATTCTGCCTAACATTTTTTTCTCAACTTAAATCACATAACTAACATTTTATTTTTAAAATACATCCAGGAACTAATTTTTTTTGTAAATTTACGTTTTCATCTGTAACTTTCGATAGCAGTGAGTTGTTTTTAAATTCCCTTTTGGAAAATGCTTTTTAAGTAAGATTAGAATCATAAATTGACTCTACAGTTAAACAATGTATACCACCTCCCACTCCTACCCACCCCCCCCCCCCC